GGGGGGGAAAGGGGTGTGGGAGATGCGAGAAGAGACTGGACAAAAATCGTGCACCTATGGATGAGGACAGTGGGTGGGGAGTGAGGGCGGAGGGTGGGGTGGGAACTGGGAGGAGGGGAGTTATGGGGGGAAAAAAGATGAACAAATGTAATAATCTGAACAATAAAGATTTAATTTAAAAAAAAATAAAAATAAAAATAAAATTAGTCTACAGAGAAACACCATCACTTATCCTTTTTATTCTATAAACCTAAGTTTTTACATTTCAGGTTTCCTTAAGAGTTATTATGGTATACTTAAAATTAATTTGTACTTAATATTTCTCATTGAAAAAAATTAAATAAATTTTACCTGACAGGTAACAATCTGGTGTCTGTTCAGACGGTCACATAGCTCTTGTGATAAACCCACTCGTCTTAGTTTCTTGCTACCCATGACTCCAGATGTGGGGGGGTAGGGGAAACACACCTTAAAAAAAAAATCAGAAAATAGCATAAGCAATAATAGATGCTACTTTCTAAAACACTCTACACAATAAAAAAAAAAATTCTTCAAATTTTTCCATGTGCATAGTGAATTTTTAGTTTTTAAAATATCCTGGTTAAATAAAGGAAGGGATTCATACCCCAGAGAGCAAATTCTAGTCACAGGGGAACAAGGCCAGATAAAAATATACAGTTCACACCATTCTTTGATAGTTATTACATGAATATAATAATACCACTTGACATTTGTAAAGCATCTTGAGATTTTCAATGCATTTATAAATTTGGATGTATAAATAACCTTCAAGGCATATTTCAAAACCACTCCTAGAAAGTCTTTACTTTCATTGGATTGTAACAACAATAAATTAATTGAGCATCTACTATGCCAGGCACGGTTGCTATACATAAATTATCACATTTAATCTTCTCAACAGCCCTATAAGAAAGATTATGGACCCCATTTTTACATATGAGAAAACAAAAGCCTAGAAAGTTTAGCTATTCTATTATCACCAGAAAAAGTAAATGATGGTTCCAGACTTCAAACCCAGGAAGTCTGACTCTGAGGTCTATCCTCCTAACCTTTGTACTCTACTGCAAGTCCATGATCATATTTAATTTCTTCTTCTGAGTCTAAGCAAATCTTCTGAATCAAAGGAGATTTTATTATTCCAGGTGTTATTTACAAGCTGAATTGTTGTTTAGTATACTAGCTTCCCACATTCCCACATACTGTACTAGCTGACCACACTCCCATATACTAGGTGCTAGAATAGAATCACTGTGATTCCCTTAATAATGTATGCAAAGGAAAGCCTGTATATCTCACTGAGATGGCAAAATATTCTTGGGTTAGAATAGAAACAGGAAATCTTCATTGTTCCAGGGGATAAAGCAGTGTAATTATCATAAAAGTAAAATTTTGAAACAAAAATATATACTGAGAATGTGGGTATTTCTTTTCCATACCATGACCCAAATTTCTATCTAAATTCTCTGAATCAGATTGTCTCTGTGTATCAGATTAAATCTCTCTCTCTCTCTCTCTCTCTCTCTCTCTCTCTCTCTCTCTCACACACACACACACACACACACACACACACACACGTATCCATCCCACAAACAGAATACATCCCTCTCGATTCTCTTAATGGGAACTGGTCAGTACTCATTTCTGTTTCCCCAGTAGGAATTTTACTAAGTGACATGTGCTATGTCATTGCCTAGTGTCTTTACAGATCAGGTACTTCTGGGGAAGGACACCATTTAGACTGATAAATTCAATAAAAAAGGAGAACAGTAAACTCCAAACTACCTGGACTTTAACAATGACCAGCTCCAGCCCTGGCCAGTGTGGCTCTGTTGGGGATCCTGTGTTGTACTGAAGGGTTGCTGGTTCAATTTCTGGTCATGGCACATGCCTGGGTTTCAGGCTCGGTCCCTGGTGGAGGGTGTGCAGGAAGCAATCCATCAATGTTTTACTATCTCATCAATGGTTTTTTCTCTCTCTCGTCCTCTCCCTTGCTCTCTAAAAATCAGTTAAAAAATCTTAAAACACACACACAGCCCTAGCCAGTTTGGCTCAGTGGAGAGAGCATCCACCCCTGGACCGAAGGGCCCCGGGTTCGATTCCTGTCAAGGGCACATGCCTGGGTTGCGAGCTCAATCCCCAATAGGGGCCTTGCAGGAGGCAGCCAATCAATGATTCTCTCTCATCATTGATGTTCCTATCTCTCTCCCTCTCCCTTCCTCTCTGAAATCAATAAAAATACTTAAACACACACACACACTAGAAAAAACAATGACCAACTCTGTTATCTCTGCCTTTATTAGGGCCACTCCCATCAGTTGCCTGGACTATTGCATGTTGCTTCTGGTCACTCACTGCCTCACACACACATGCAAAATCCATTCATTTGCTCCTTTTACAGGCACTCTTTATTTTATTTTACTTCATTTTTTTAATCCTCACCCAAGGATATGTCTACTGATTCCTATACAGAGGCACAGAGAGAAACATCCATCCCCCCTCCAAAGCATACACACACACACACACACACACACACACACACACCACCACCACCACCACCAATCAGGATTTGAACCCGAAACCCTTTAGGTGCATGTGACCACGCTCCAACCAACTAAGCCACACACCAGGGCCGCAGGCACTTTTTAAGCACACACTCTGCTAAGTTCTGGGATACAAGAATCATTTAAGCATATTCCCTCCCCTTTGGCAACTCACAGTAAAAAATGAAATGTATACAAAAAATAACTAGTCATGCAATAAGTATTCCCATTGGAATTTAAATGTGTTGTGGACAAAGAGGCACACCAAACTGGCCTGCAAGGTAGCTTCCTAAAAAGTTGCTCTAATCCTGTCACTCTCGTCCTTTAAAACTGCCCATGGAACCATTAGCCTACAGGGTAAGTTCCACAGGATTAAGACCCTTCATCAATTGATTCCTCCTTTCCCTCTCGTTCCTACATCAGATTGCAAGGCCCAAATCCTGACCTTCCTTGCAAAGTTACTTCACCTCAGACTGTCTTAGTTTATCCATCTGTAAAACGAGGGTAATTCAAGTATCTACTCCATAGGAATGTAATGAAGGTTAAAGGATTGCACATACTGCTCAAGGTTAATCATTATCCGTTTGTTCAGCAAAACATCATTTTCTGCCTCACATGACCAGCTCTCCAGCCACAACAGTATATTGGTAGGTTAGGCAATATAGCCATCCTGCCTCCCTGACTTGCCTCCACAAAGCTTTAACCTAACTCAGCCTCTTCTTCTCCAATGTTCTCATCATTGTACATCTATTTGCCCGATAATTAAAGTTTTATTATGGCTTGCATGTTTGATTCTTCCGCCAGAGACTAAGTTCCTGCTCTGTATGTGTGCACATAGCCCATGTGAATGGGAAATGGAAGATATTCAAGCCTGGAGATTGAATCCTCTCCTCATTGAAAGAACGCTCCTCCTGTTAGATGTTCAATGAAAACTGTGAAATAACAATAGCTAATATTTATTGAGCCCTTATTACGCCCACTACACTGTTCCAAGCGCTTCGGATGTTTTACCCCAGTTTACAGATGAAAGACACGGAGGCCCTGAGTTGAAAACGTCCGCATTCGAATCCAGGGATCTGACTCCAGATTCCACGCTATTATCTACCTGAAGACGGGCAGGCCCTCAACTTCCCCCAAACACGGGCTCCCCTGTCTAGACCCCCAAACTTCCCGGAAGTAAAAGTGGGGGGTGGGCATCAAGAGGCAAAAACAACACCGCAGAATCCTCTAAAAAGAACCTGTTTCAACAAGGCCCAGCTGCCTTGCAAACCTACAAAAGAAGCTCCCAGATCCGCGACAGGTTTCCCGTTAAGATCCCTATCGACTGAAGGGGGCGTGCCCTGCACCCAAGAAAGATTCTCCAATATGAATACCACAGGCCCAGAGAAGGAGCGCACCCCACTTCCCCACAACGGCCCCCAAGATGAAACTTTCCAGTACCGGGTCTGCAGCATCCAACTTTCAAAGTTTCCCCCACCCATCACTCAGTTCCCCGCGGAAAATGCTGCAAAGCAACAAGCTAAGCGCTGGTTGGGCCGTCGTCCTGGGAACTATCCAATCAGAGGCAGGCAGAGCCAGGTCGGCTCCGCGGCTTGCTGGGAGTTGTAGTTCACACTCGGAAATAAATTTGCCAGTTTCTCAGTCTAGTAGTGATTATCAAAATGCGGTGGAGGAACATAAGCAAAGAGTGTATGAAACCAGGATAAACCTTGCTAGATGTATTCTTTATTTTGTCACTACATTGAAAAGTTGCTTAATGGATCCGAGACTAGGTTAGTTTTCGGGAAATCCATCTATATAGAGAGGTATTGGAAGAAGCTTTCGGTTTGTTTTGGCTTGCTTTTTTCATCACCCTTTGGTAGTGATTATAGATTGGGCAATGCTAAATAAAATTGCTCCAGCCGTTACTTCCTCAGGTTCCGATTATTACATCTGCGAAGAACTTTTGCTCATGCTTTGCATGCCTCTATTTTATAATGTAGCCCATTTTACCCTAATTATGCCCTGCGCCCCTCACTAAACTGAGCTCCCTGAGGACAGGGACCACAACTTGTTCCGCTTCGAAAGGCTAGCACACTGCTCAGTTAACGGTTGTCGGGTAAATGAGCAAATAAATGAATAGAGTTAAACAGAAGAAAATGAGACTTCGGAACGCGGGGTTCTGGGATTATAAATGAGCCCGAGTATACAGAATAAAAATGGAGGGGGATTGATTCTGGTCTCGCTCTGGGTAACCCCCCAAGGCTTGGCAAAGCACTGATTGGAGCTCAGTAACCGCTGACTTCAAACGCTAGGGAGGAAAGAGGGCGGCAGAACAAAATCAAGGAAGAGAGCTGTTTCTGCCGCCCGCTTCGCCGAACGCAGAACGGAAGGCGTAGCGCAGAGGAATTGTCAAAACTAAAAGGAATGTTCCTTAGCCAGGTGGCGGAGGGACTCCCTCCCAGCCGCCGAGCTTCCTAGTTCCTAGAGGAGGCGTCACGTGCCCCAAACAAATATGGCGCTTTATTTGCATCTTCCCTCCATTGGCCAATAGGAGTGGCCGCTGTCCACCGTCAGCCCCGCCACCCGCCTCGCGAACTCCACATGGGACCTGTCACCTGACTGGACTGAAACATGGCTGCGCTGGGGGCACTGTCGCTGTGGGCACCGGGAGCAGGTGAGTGTGAGGCGCCCCAGAGAAGGCGGGAGCGCTCTCCAACACCCCTGCAGGGGGCGTCCCTGCGCCCCAACCCCACCGCCCTCCAGGTCGGGCACCGAGTCACCTCGGGACCCTCAATCCGCTGCCTCAAGGGAGGGCTCCAGCGAGGGAGGGTCCTGCTGAATTTCCCATCCTTAGGGGGCGACCACCTGGGGCTTGGGAGCCGGACTGCGAATAAAGTTCCGGACGGGCTGCGAGCGTGGAGTTCAGGGCTGCGCCTCGGGCTGATACGACCGTTAATATTAATTGAATGTCAGATGCTCGTAGAGAGATGAGATCCGACCCTTGGGGAAAGGTGTAACTTCGCAAAGACAGTAGGAACATGTCAAAGCCATCTTACCAGGACGATGAGGAAAGTCAGTCCCGCCTTCCCCGTCGGGCTGGTAGTTACTAATTGTCTAAATACAACGCCGTCCGTTTCCTCTCACTCTGGTGTGTACTGTCCATAGGAGATGATCCACGGAGGAGAAAATTGACCATGTGTTCTGCGTAATTCATCCCTTCCTGTCTCCCTGCACTCTGTGCTGGGAAAATGCATCATCCGTTTGGGAAAGAGGAAACCGCTTCCCAGAGGGAGCTGTTTGGGTTTTTCTGTGAGTGCCTGCAGCGGGGAGAGTGGGAGCTGGCACAGGCCTGTGTGCCTCAGCTACACGCGGCGCAAGGGGACATCCCCAAGCAGGTGGAGGACATTCTACGGGCGCTGGTGGCGTGTCCCCATCAGCTGAGGTAAGGGATCCGAGTCCTGGCAGGCAGTCACGGGGCAGGGGACACAAGGGTCAGTGTTTGGGCTCGGGTCCATGAGCCTCACTCCGCTACTCCCTGAAGAATTAGCAGAGGGGGAGTGTATTTCACATGCTCTGAAATTTTACCTCTGTAATACATACCTATCACCTAATTAATATTGGCTTTGAATTAGCACTTGGAACTGTGTTTAAGCCTGGTCAGCAAATTATATATGGAACCACCATTTCTTGTTTATTATCATTAAAGTAGATAGTGGGGCTGCATTGAAAAGCATTTTCTCTGCCTCCAAAAACAAACAAACCCTACTCTCTTCTGACTTATGAAATTGAAGTGAATTCACTTCAAAACTACTGGAAGTAGCCCTAACCGGTTTGGTTCAGTGGATAGAGTGTCGGCCTGCGGACTCAAGGGTTCCAGGTTGGATTCCGGTCAAGGGCATGTACCTTGGTTGCAGGCACATCCCCAGTGGGGGGTGTGCAGGAGGCAGCTGATCGATGTTTCTCTCTCATCGATGTTTCTAACTCTCTATCCCTCTCCTTTCCCTCTCCCTTCTTCTCTGTAAAAAAGCAATAAAATATATTTTTTTTAAAAAGCTACTGGAAGTGAATTCACTTAAAGCTTTTTTTAAAATAATTATACTCCCAAGAAGTGCAAAAATAATACAAAAAGTACCCTTTCAATAGCTTCCCCCAGCTTTCCCCAGTTGTGACATCTCATAATAGTACAATAGCAAAACCAGGAAATTAATACAGGTAATTACTGTTAACTAGATTATCAGGATTTAATCTGCATTCATTTTTATGTGTGTAGTTCTATGCAACTTTATTCATGTGTATATTCATGTCAAGATACACAACTATTTCATCACCACAAAAGAATTCCCTTACTTCCTGTAGTCAAAATACACAACTGTTTCATCATACCTCTCTGTATTTTGATCTCTCCTTGCCCCCTGACAACCACTGTTCTCTATCTAAATATTTAATGAAATTCTGACAGTGCTAATAACTAATGGTACAGGAACTAAATGTACTATTCAGTTTCTCCCTCAATTTCCATTACTTTGGCAATTACGTTATGTTGTTTGAGTACTGTATTAACATATAGGGTGGGGCAAAAGTAGGTTTATAGTTGTAAGTATGTGAAACAGAGTCTATTCCCATATTATTGTATTATTTTCCATATGAACAACTGTAAGCCTACCTTGGTCCCACCCTGTATAGAGTGGAGACTTAGGTGACTTTTCTTCCTTTATTTTTTTCCCCTTAAATTTGTGTTCCAGCCTGTTACTAATTTATATTACTAACTTCAAAGGAAGGCTTACGAATTCCTATAACCCTCTTTGTGGTATAGAGTTAAAAATAAATTTTTGTCAAGTTCCTTTTTTCTTTAAGACTACTTGATTCAGTTTCTATTTTCAAAAATATACTTTAGATAGCTTTGCTTTTATGGTTTTCTATGTAATATTTTGTTTAAAAATAATAAAGACTAGATAGGGAGGTGCAGGTAGGATTAAGACCTTTTTTTCTTCTTTCTTATGAAAGCTGCTAGCTTTATTCTGGTTCTAGTTTTATTGATCTGTCATGTACATTTGAAAATTTTCTCATTAGAACATCTTGCCTGTTCAGGTTGAAAATAGACTGAACATTGAAATCTAAATCTTGGATGGCAAAAGAGAAAAAAGTCAGTAGAAATTCTTTGTTTAGAAATTCTTTCTCTTCACATTTTTCAGATGTGGACCAGACATCAACCCTCAAAGATTAGCCTGGGTCTGGCTTCTTGTACTGGAGAAGTGGTTTGCCCAAGAAAAAGTAAGTAGGTTTCTATTTCAGATTTTCTCCTGAGGCCGAGACTGGGAACAGTTTGGCAATAGTTATGAGATTTCCCCTCTGTCTGTTACTTCCTTTATTATGAGGTTTCTAATACCCTCTCTCGGTACTGATAGTGAGAATGGCTTACATTTTTATTGATGTCTTCTTACCTAAATTCATTCATTAATTCACTAACATAACATTAGCATGTAATGCCATTTGAGGTGATACCATTCTGTTAAATACCATCGTGAGAGCTGTGCCTGAACAGAGCTTTGCAGATCTTAGTGAAAGTGACAAGGTAGGGAGTGACATATGACTCTTGTAATACCCAAGTAACGGAGAATGGACTGGGCTGAAACTTGTTTGTTCTTCCAAAAATCTCATTTTCACTAGTCCTGTGCAGTGAAATCTTGTAGATTTAAACCTCATTGACTAATAAGTTAGTAATTAACATGAATTGAATGATAACTTACCAAATATAAAAACAAAGTGAGCAAATAAATCCTGAAAGAAACTTGTGAGGAAGTGCTTTTTTTTTCCCCAAAAAGAAAAATTGCCATGAAAAGCCTTTTTATTTTTTTAACTTTAACGGTTTTAGAAGGAAGAGAGAGAGAGAGATCAATTGGTTGCCTCCAGTACACCCTGACTGGTGATGGGAACTGCAACCTGAGTATATTCCCTGACCAGGAATCGAACCCGCCACCTTCTGGTGTACCATACTACACTCTAACCAACTGAGCCACTCTGGCCAGAGCGAAAAGACTTTTTAGAAGTATGTGATAGTTATCAGAAATTGATATCCATGGGAGTCAACCTTGGACCTGGGAATCAACCTTGGAATGTGGTCCATTCTCATGGAAAGATTAACAACCTTGCTGCCCAAACACTGGAGTCCCACCCCAGCCTCCTACTTCCCCATGCCTTTAATCCCTACTTCCCCATACCTATAACCCATATTTTCCTGTGTAATCTTTGTCCTACTCTACATAAGCAGATGGCTTATGGGGGGCTGCAAAGCAGATTTTGTGGATGACCTGCTGCTCTCCCATACTGCCGGTAGTATTGGAGTAAACGTACATATATGATTCAAAAAGAAAGAAATAAGTTTATATTCATTAAAAGTATTTCTCTGAGGCAATTTTTATTAAACCACAGACTTTAAGATTTAAGTGAGGAACCTCTGATTCAGAAAAGAAATGACTGGCCCAAAATTAGAGGTGGAACCAAGATCTTCTGACTTTGAATTCCCATTCCTCTGCTTTTTCCACCTCAATATTAGTTTTAGCCTTCATGGGCTTAAAAGTAGGAAACTGTAAGTTCTACTTTATAAATATCTATAATTTAACCTAATTTTCTTCTTTACTCCCATCAGTCATCAGAATTTTGTCTTTAGTTCCAGTTGTGCTTGGCCCCTACCCTTCTCTCCACAGAGCTGTCAAAAGTAACAGAAGTTACTAATCAATATATATAATCAATATATATAAAAGGCTAATATGCTAAGTGTCCCTCTGCCTGTCTGACCAGTTGCTATGATGTGTACTGACCACCAGGGGGCAGACGCTCAACACAGAAGCTGCCGGGCTGCAGTGACTTGGCAGCTGTGGTTCTCGGGTGACACACCCTGAAACCAGAGAGGAAGGAGCCCGATTCCACGTGGGGCCTTGTGATTCCACCTTTAGCTGTGGGTTATGTTGTTGCTGGGGCACTGTCGGCCCCCAGTCTGGTTTACTGCACACTTGCATTTGTGTTCCACACCCTGTACAACAGCAACTTTGCAGAATGTCCTCTCTCACTCCAGGACCCCTCAGGGGATGTCAGAGAGCCAGTTTCGGCCCAGTCCCTGTAGGCCAGGCCGAGGGACCCCACCTGCAGGAGGGACCCCGCTCACTCCACAGAGGCCGGGGAGGGACCACGAGAGGTTGGCTCCAGGGCATGTCCAGTCCATCTCACCCAGTCCCACCCCGCCAGCCACCTTCTAATTAATTTCTTTTCAATGTGCACGAATCTGTGCACCGGGTCACTAATCTAAATATATTTCTTATTCAGGCATTTGCCAACTGTCTGCAAAAAGAAATGATGAAAAAACTAAGAGGAAAAAAAGAGAAGCAAAATTGAAAAGTATCCCCAGGATAATTAAGAGTTGACTATAGCTTCAGATTTAAAAGAGAAAAACTTGAGCTAAAATATTTAATAGTAGCTTCAAAGAGAAAAAGAAAAAATGTTTTATTGTTACTAAGGATATTTCCAGTACAAACATGGAATTTACCAACCAGATGAATTTTACTCTCACTGAAGGGCATTTGCTTACTTTATGGCTGATTGGTTGCTTATTTTATGGGCACTTGGCTCAACCAGGTCAGGTGGTGGACTTAACTTCCCTGACTCGTTAGCACAGACTGTGGGTTGTTCTTGCTTTTGCCAGCACTGAAGTTCCTTCGGTCTATAAGGCTCCAATGCCTCAGTTATTTAAGAAGTTCTAGGACTTTTAAACTTTAAACAAGGACCTCAGAGAATTTTAAAACTTTATACAAGGACTAAGATTTCAAGTGAATTCTTGGAGTAGTTCTCCAAGGCCATTCATTATCCTGGAGTGGCTTTCATCTTCCAGGCACTAGCTGGCTGCCTGTCCTTTTGCAGTTCCCACCTTCTGCCAAAAGCTTCCTTTGTAATTATTAGTGGAAATGATGATTCCATTTTCCCTTTCCTTTATATCTTGTAGTGATTTATCTGTACATGAGTAACTGCAGAAATATTCACCGCCATGCTGCTTCTAATAGGGGAAAGCTGAAAACAACTCCCATGTCCACAATGCAGCATGGACTCGTCTATTTGTCAAATGCCATTATGAAAATTGGGTGGTAAATGAATTTCAGTGACATGGGAAAAATGTTCATGTTCTGCCATGTGAAAAAAAAGTTTAGAAAACAGTGGATTTGGTATGCATGCATTGATGCATGGTCTGAATGCCCTTACACCACAGTATTAATAGTTCTTTTAAATGGAAAGATTCTGGGTGAGGGGTGGTTTCATTTGCCTATTTGTATATTCTAATTTTTCTACACTGAACATGCTTTGCTTTTATAGTAAGAAAATCTGTGCTTAGAAACATGGAACAAATTCTTGCTTGTTTTAGGAATGTTAGTCATTTATGGCCATGCATATGCATAATATAATGTCACCAGTGAAATAAAATATAAACTAATTAGAATTCTAGATTAAAGCCCTAAAATCTTAACCAGGCTTTGTACTTTTATTAAGGGCTTCTGTCTAGACATCTTACCTGTTCCTTCCCTTTCGTCCTCAATAGAAGCACTAATCTTTGCTTCCGGCATGAATTTTCTCCAACTTCCAATCACTAGTGTTATACAAGCATTCAGATGGCGTAGGTGCGTTAGAGAAGGGTGTGGTAAGAAGAAATAGGAATTTAACCAAGAACATGCCAGATCACGTTAGCCTCTGATGTGATTTATGAATGGCATGAATAGAATAAGTGTGATCTTGTGTTGTAAACTCCCCTCCCACACAATCCTGCAAGTACTTCTTGCCTTGAGGTAGAGGACCTTTCAATAAAACCCAGCTTCTGGAAGTTTTAACCAGCTGCATGATTTACAGGTGTCTCTGATATAGAGTTGTGTTTGTCAAGGTTATTCCTGCGCTTGATCTATTTGTATTTGTGTCTGGAGAAAAGGTGACTATAGTTTGTTTTAAGAACCTGGTGAAGGGAAGTAATTGTGAAACAAGTTGGTCGTGAAAAAGGCAGAGGCTTTCTCTTCCTTTATACATGGCAAGTGTCGTTAGCAAACACTGGGGTCACTTTTTCCTTTTCATGCTTGAAGTAATTGGAAAGTACTTCCTAACCACTTCATCTTTAGTAAAGATTATTTTTAAAAATATCTACTTATCCCACAGGTTTGTTTGATTTAGACATTAAATGAGATATTTTAAAACATAGCACACAGTACCTGGCACATAATAAGCGTTTCATAAACATTAGATCCTTTCTGTTTACTTTTGTTTTCCAACTTATAATAATACCAAATCAAGGATTTGGACCAAAGAGGATGATGCGGTTCACACCTTCGCAGGCTTACTCATAACTGGGTATTTTGGTCACTGCAAGGGAGGTTTTTTTCTTTTTTTAATCTTTATTGTTGAAAGTATTGCATTTGTCCCCTATTCCCCTATTTCCCCTCATTGACCCCTCTAGCCCACCCTCGTCCCCCTCCACAGGCCTTCACCACCCTATTGTCTGTGTCCATGGGTTATGCGTATATGCATACAAGTTCTTAGGTTGATCTCTTCCCACCCACCCACCCTCACCTTCCCTCTGAGATTCCATAGTCTGTTCCATGCTTCTATGTCTCTGGATCTATTTTGTTCATTAGATTCCACATATGAGTGAGATCATGTGATGCTTGTCTTTTTCCAACTGGCTTGTTTTGCTTAGCATAATACTCTCCAGATCCCCAAGGGAGGTTCTTGGAGAAGGACTTCAAATGACAGAAAAAGTCCTATGAAATGAGCAAACCTTGGAGTTTGAGGCTGACCAGTGTGAGATTTAAGTGATAGTATTTAAGAGGGGTACGCATCCAAGTTTAGCTGTTTTGTTTATAAAGTATCTCAACACATTTCTAGCAGAAATAAGAGTAACTGGGGAGATCAAGAAGTGTTATTTCTGTTTCGGGCTCATATACCCTGGCCACGCATGATGTTCATCCGCAACAATTGCAAGGTGTTCAGGTTCTGTAAATCCAAGTGTGATAAAAACTTTAAAAAGAAGCTCAATCCTTACAAGGTCAGGTGGACTAAAGCATTCCGTAAAGCAGCTGGTAACGAGCTTACAGTGGATAATCACTTGAATTTGAAAAATGTGGAAATGAACCTATCAAATAGCCACGAGAGCTGTGGAATGAAATGATTACTGCACTGAAGAGAGTCGAAGAGATCAAATAGAGACATCACGCAACATTTATAATGCGTAGGTTGAAGAAAAATAAAGAAGTACAGAAAGCTCAGGACATCAAAGAAGTCAAGCAAAACGTGTATCTCATCCAGGCCCCTTTTGCGTGCAAAGGAAAGCAGCTGGCAGACACAGTGGTACAGAAACTGCAAGAGGATGTGGACATGGGAGTTGTTTCTGACAGTCTTACTGTTTAACCATTTCTATGAGCACATTGGAGAATCTCCATTAGAGATTTAGAACCTCTAAGTTATTGATTTATTTTTTTACATGAGGTGACTCAAATAAAAAGGTGACTAAAAGCACATCTCTTCTACATTAGTATCTGCAAAACATCAGATTTTATGGATGCTAGATTGCATTTCCATGTTAAACCTTCACTGATATATGTATATATGTAAATCATGAAAATTCTGTGAAGACAAAGTGAATTTTGGACAGAAAATGATCATGCTACTTGGGCAATGGCATCAAGTAGTCTTTATGTAATAACTAGTGACAAAAACGCATGGCTAGTGATATATAAAATAAAATTTTCTTTCAGTAAAAAAAAAGTCACTGGAGAAAAGTATCTATAATTTATTAACTAAAGCATATGCCTAATCACTGTGCTTACTTCTTATGATTTTTTTAGAAGTTACTCCCAGCTGTTTTCCGGAGAAAGCTAGAATTTCTTTTATTATCGGAAGACCTTCAAGGTAACATTCCAGAGGACATCCTCAAGGTGAGAGAGGCTTTGGGAGCTGTCTGCCCAGAGTCACAGTTACCAACCAGTTCAGCTTCCAGGGATCCAGCGGAGATAGGTCCCCTAGATCAGGGGTCCTCAAACTTTTTCAACAGGGGGCCAGTTCACTGTCCCTCAGACCGCTGGAGGGCCGGACTATAGTTTAAAAAAAAAACTATGAACAAATTCCTATGCACACTGCACATATCTTATTTTGAAGTAAAAAAGCAAAACGGGAACAAATACAATATTTGTGTTTGCATGTGGCCCGCGGGCCGTAGTTTGAGGACCCCTGCCCTAGATGCTGGCTGTGTACTCTGGTCTCACGCAAGACCGGGTTAGATAGAGGCCCCTCTGAGGGGAGTTTAAAATTAGGATAAACTTAACTGATTTTAGAATTCTCAGAGGTGTGTTATCCAGAAGTACTAAGTACAACTATGGATTAAAGTTTTTTTCATTTCATGTAAAAGGAATACATAACTTGGATTTAAACTAGGTAGTATTTGAATTTTCCACCAGTATATGGCAGGAAATGTGAAGGGAAACAGGAACTAGTATTTGTTGAATACGTGGTTCTGTAAGAGCTACACTGAATGTGTCAGAGTTAACAACAATCTTCTGGGGCTAGATTCAAACTAAGTCTTTTTGTTTTGTTTTGTTTATTGATCTTAGAAAGAGAGAAGAAGGGTGAGAGAGAGAAAGGAACATCTATTTGTTGTTCCACTTATTTAGGCATTCATTGGTTGATTTTTGTATGTGTCCTGACCGGAGATTGAACCTACAACCTTGGTGTATCAAGATGACACTCTAACCAACTGAGCCACCAGGCCAAGGCTAAACTAAGTCTTACCTAGATCTATACTTACGTGCCTGAGGTATGCTCTGAGGCTCAGTACTTATTTTCTTCGTCACTCTACCATCAGCTAATAAAGGCATATTAGCTGTAGGATTTAAAGTACATGCTTTCACTTATATTAAGTCAAGGACTCATGGTTCTGTTCCCATCTTGGAGGCAGTTCATGAAGAAGCATCCCTGAGCACCATCCATGGGCACAGTATTAAAGCACCCCCTCTTCTCCCTCTGCACCCACTCTGCAAACAAATTATAGGCTATAGATTAAGCATGTCAAACATGCGACCTGCAGGCCACGAGTTTGACATGCTTGCTATAGAGGTTCTTGCCTGTAAGGGCTTAGTCTAGTCAGGGAGGAGAGATGAATAGACACTTGAGACAATTATAAAACATATGGTACTAATTGTGAGTACATTGAAAGCCCAGTAAAAAGGGAGAGTTGTGTGGGATGGACGTATTAGGACTAGGATTTAGATCAAAGATTAAAAACTGATACATAATGTTCTTTTTTTATTATTTTATTTATTTTTTAATTGATTTTAGAGAGAAAGACAGGGAGAGGGAGAGAGAGAGAGAAACAGAAAGAGAGAGAGGGAGAGAGAGAAACATCAATGTGAGAGAAACATTGATCGTTTGCCTCCAGTATGCACCCTGACCGGGAATCCAAACTGCTACCTTTTGGTTCACAGAACGAAGCTCCAACCAACCGAGCCACACAGTCCAGGGTGTGTAATGTTTTTTTAAAAATTGAATTTAAATGCCTTGAGTTGGGCATAGTGTCATATGCATTTGTTACTTGGCTTGGCCTATGAGTTTGCAGTCCCTGATGTAGAGCAACAGTGCACATTTTGGAGGCAGTAAGAGGGGCAAGCGTGAGCATGGAGGCCTTGGGCAATTGACTTCATCTCTTTGCCTCAATCTCCTCATTTGTAAAATGGGGATAATCGTAGTGTCTTCCTCTTAAGGTTTATTTTTCTGTGTAAAGGGCCTGGCACGTAGTAACTACTACAGAAGTGTTTGCTACTGTTACTGTTTTATACACACACACACAAATACACACACACACATACACATATGTACTGAAAAGAGAAAACATAAAGGCATACAGGTGATAACATTCTAGACATGCTCAGCATGCATCCCTCTCTTCATCCTCTATTTAGGAGCTGTATGAGGCTTTATCACAAGACACCGCAGACCCCGTGCTTGACGAAAATCGAAGGCCGGAGAGCCGGACCCTTTGGCTCAGCTCAGAAGCTGTCTCTGTGCTCCTGGATCTTCTGAGCCAGGCTTCCCAGCCAGCGCAGGCCCTGCTGGAGCTTCTGCTTAGGGAAGACGATGGCCCCGGCCCTGGTGGCTGGCCTCTGCAGAAGGCACTGGTGGACCTCATTCGAAAGGCACTGCGAGCTTTGCAGGACGCTGCCCCTGGGTCCCCGGGGGGCGTGGAGGCCATCTACGGAGCCCTGCGGACTCTGCGTTGCCCTGCAGAGCCCCCGGGGGCTGAGCTGCGTCTCCTGTGTGAGGAGCTACTGGAGGCCTGCAGGACTGAGGGGAGCCCCCTGCAGGAGGAGCGGCTGCTCAGCTGCCTGCTGCACAAGGCCGGGCGGGGCCTGCTCTCCCTGTACGGCCATGCCTATGCAGAGAAGGCTGCAGTGAAGCCACTAAAGGCCTTCTCGTTGGGAGAAGGTGTGTTCCCTTTGCTGCTCTCCTGTGTGCTGGAAATCCCACTGTGCCCGGCCTCTCTCGAGTTCTCCTCGGCTGGGCCTTTCATGTTGCTCAGAGAGGCCAATAGGAAAGGCTACACACAAAAAAGGGGGAGGCATTTTCTTAAAAGCACAGATTTTATAGTCTAGGATGGAGCAGGTGATGGGAAAAAAACAAACAAAGTAATAACAATAGCAGCAAAGAGCTTTTCAGAAGCTACTGAGAGAAGGAAAGGGCCTTTAATATAGAAGGATAGGAAGCCTGGTTTAAGTTTTTAAAAGAGTGAACTCTAACAGTTGGTGTTTCCAATGGGCTTTAGCTTAGGAAGGAAGAGCTCTGGTTCCCCAGTAACCCTGTCTGGTTTGATTTTCAGTCTCAGCGGATCATCTAGATCCCGAGCGGGCAATGCTAGCCTTGTTCTCCAATCCCGACTCAGCCGAGGCTTGGAAACTGGCCTATTTCTACTGCCTGAGCAACAGCAAACACTTCCTCGAGCAGATCCTGGTAGGTCAGACATAAATGTTTTCCATCACAGAGGTACTTAGAGACTCCACAGGATTTTTCATTCCTCATTTCTTTCCCACTCATTTACCCTACACAGCAATCTAATCAGTAGTGAGGCATTGGGTTCTGTCCATCCCATAGTCCCGGGGGGAAAAGTCTTCGAGAACCAGCGTCATTCATAATTAGACCTGCAGTCATTTTACATCAGTCCTTTGGCAGGAACTACAATGTTGGATTCTTGTAAGCTTTCTGGAGGGTGCAGGGAAGAAAAGACAGTGGTGACAGTGTATTGTCTAGCTGACAGGAATTTAATTACTCTAAATTTCTCCCAGATTGCTACTGAGCTTCAGTGTATTTCAATAGATATTTGTTAACCTCATCCTGTGTGCCCTGTACTGTGGAAGTCAGTGCCTGCCTTCAAAGAGCTTATGGTCTAGAGTTTTATGGACCTTTTTTAGTCAACTGGCTCTTCTGTCATTGTCAGAAATCTCCCTGCTATGGCCAAAAGCTTCCTCCCCTAATGAGCAGCAAGTCCACGTAACCGCCTATAGCAGCCTCCTTTGACTTACAGGTGACAGCACTAACGCTGTTGAAAGAGGAAGACTTCCCAAGCCTTGGCTGCCTCCTGGATAGAGAATTCAGGCCTCTCCGTCGACTGCTTGTGCTCCTGGGCTGGACACACTGCCAGAGCCTCGCATCAGCCAGGAGGTTGCTGCAGACACTCCACAGGACCCAGGTAACTGACTCTGCAGCCTGGGCTGCTCAGAAGTGAGTGCTGTGGGCAGAATGCGAGGTCCTGAAGTTCATTACAGTCTCTGACCCCAGATGCCATCTCTTTCTTCTATGTCCGTACAGGACCAAGGTGGCGATAAGCTCCTCAGGGATGCCTGCAATGGGCTGTGGGCTCACCTGGAGGTCCTGGAGTGGTGTGTACAGCAGAGCAGGTACAGCCCTGTGTAGTCTTCCCACCATTGGGCACACTTGATCCTGTGTTCTGTGCATGTGACCATTTCAAGACATCATCCGCATAACTGTTTTGGGTTGACAATGTTGACCAGCAACTCATAATTATTCCAGCTATTAACCCAGGAAAGAAACATAAGTAATAATTATTTTCACTATAGCCATAAGGTTATAACTAGAGGATAGAGGGTAATTTAGGATGACAATGATAAAGAACAATAGCTCACATTTCCTGAGCGCTTACTATATGCAAGGCATAGCTCCAAGCTCTTTATGTGGATGATTTCACTTAAGCCTCACAGTAATCCTATGGAGTAGTTACCAATATTATCCTAATTTTAAAGGTGGGCAACTGAAGCCCAGAGATGTTGAGTGACATGCCCAAAGTGACAGTACTGTGGCCCACATTCTTGGCCATGTGTTACTGCAGTCACACTTTTATTCAGTAACCTGTGGAACTGGTTAAGCCCTGTTTCCCTGATATATTAGCCTCAGGGCTTCCCCAGGACTGGGTTCCTGTTCTGTTCTTCACCGCTTCCCCAGACTTTCTGAAGTAGAGTAGGCAGAGTGGGAAGTGGCGAGAGGCTGTTACTCAGGAAAGCAGAGAAGCTGTGCCGCTTCTGAGCTGGGAAGAGCACAGAAATTGGGAAGCATACTCTGCAGGCTTTTTCTGGACCCCCTTGACCAAGAAGGCCCTTTCTAGATCCTTCCTAGATGAGTAGGGCTGACTTGATGGATGTACTTCCCAGAGGGTAAATAAATGCTCTGCTGTATCCCAGACCAACTAAAATGTAGTCTTTGGGTAAGTGAAACCCATGGTGTTAGGGGCCAGACAGCAAGAGAAAGAGGGAATCAGAATGGTCTTTCTCAGAGCAGTTTTATCAACTGCCTCTCCTCCCATCCTCCCGTCTTTCCCTCCCAGCAGCCCCATACCAAAGAGGGATCTCTTGTGTCATTTACACGGTGGAGACAGCCACTCAGTGCTCTACTCTCTCCATCACCTCACAAACCTTCCAGCCCTCAGGGAGGAAGAAGTTCTCAAGCTCTTACAGAAGGTGCCAGCCAAGGAGCCTCAGCAAGAGCACAGTAAGTTGCCGATGCAGTCACTCGGGCACGGTTTCCTCTTAGGACAATCTTGCCGAGGTTCCTTTCAGCAAAGACTTATCTAGGTGTAATCTGTCAAAGTGGGTGGGCTAGCAGGTGCCTCTAAATTAGTGCTGTTTGCCCCAGTGAGATCATGGGGTGTAGGAATGTGCCTCCCCTCTCTGGATGAGGTATAGGGAACCCGATGAGAACAGCGCCATAGGAACCCTTGTCCTCGTGGAACCATCTCAAGAACCACTAGGATACCCTCATGCCAAGGAACAGAATTAGGAACTGCCCTCGGAATTCGCAGCATTATCTCTGGCAATATTTATGCAACTCTTGGCGAGTCTCTCCATTCTTCATACGCTTTCTCACAGCACACTTTGTGCCTACCCTCTCTCTCCCATAGCTCCCTCATACTCTATTGAACACATAAAGCAGTTTAGATGAAGACTTGCGTGAAACAATAGTAAAGTCTTGTTTTAATCTTAGATCTTGGCTTAAAATTAAAGTCCCCATTAACAAGCTCTTTTGCTCTCAAAAATGGTATCATAGTGTAGTCACAACCTGCCACACAGGTCCTGGGACATTTTGCTTTGAGAGAAACAAACCTTCCCAGATGGCAGGAGATGTTGCTCAGCCTCGATATTACTTAGATTGACCTTGAGAAAGGATGTACCATTAACTGGAAAACCCGTGTCACTGCAGTCTATATTTTTTTCCAGGAAGGTAGGCAACTTGTTTAACAGATTTCCTAAAGGAACTGGAACTTTCTGTTTACAGACAAGTACAAAAGGGCTTCCAAAGAAGTGGTTTAAATCCGATCCCTGGTGACCCACCAGGACACACTTAGAACTGATAAAAGGTGAAAGAGGAGCAATAATAGGTCTGGACTAGGGTGAGGCAAGAGAGGCACCTGGGGCACAAAATTTAAGGAGCCGCTCACTCTCAGGGTTGTGCAGTGCTTGCAAGTCCTGGCCCGGGGCAATAATGCCACGTAGAGGCCAGGGGCGGGGAACAATATTGATCTCGTTCTGTTTCTACCTGACTTTGGTAAATCTGAGCTCCCTATAAGAAGTAATTACTAGGAAGCCTATACACACGGGGATTTATTGCACCATCCTAGTAGCAAAGCATTCCTAACGACTGCAGTGCCCTGCCGCAGTAGAACTGTATGCAGCCATCAGAAATATAGTGTATGAAGAAGCATAATCAAATGCTTATACTATCATTTATTTTTAAGAAGTAGGAAAATTGAATAGTATAGAAAATGTCATTACTCTCAACATACACACGTATATGCTAAATTATCAAAGGGGTTAAAACAGATTGTTAATGGTTGTGTTTAGCTAGTAATATCATGGGTTATATTTTCTTCTTTTTCGCTTTGCTACATTTAATGCCTTTTCTTTGAGAAGGTTGCACTTTTACTATGAAAAGGATTCAAGCCAGATTAAGATGTTTAGAGACCCTAAAATAGTATGATGCCTTCTCTTTCTCCTCAATTTTTTTAAATGAGAAATTATAAATTATTAAACAAGTACAAGGAATTTCAACAGCATTTGTGTTTTTCCCCATGATGTCTACTTCAGTGCTTTCTTAAAAATATCATTTTTTGCCTGGCCGGCATGCCTCAGGAGTTCACAGTTCAATTCCTGGTCGCAGGCTTGATTCCTAGTAGGTGGCATGCAGGAGGCAGCCAGTCAATGATTCTCTCTCATCATTGATGTTTCTATCTCCCTCTCCCTCTCCCTTTCCCTTCCTCTCTGAAATTGATAAAATATATATATTTTAAATGTATATCAACTTTTTTTTCCAAAGAAATTTTGTTGCCTTTGCTCTCATTACTCAATCTATACACACTTTAAGCCTGCCTCTTGGATAATGTGGCACTAGGTAGACTAAACATATTTTCCTTTTAAACCCCCCATACCTCCTCTAAACATTTACTTTAAGTTTTAATTTAAAAAAAAAGAAAAAAGAAAAGAAAGAACAAAATGTTAAGAAATATAAGGAAAAGACTTGTTAAATAGCCATGAGGGCTGCATTAGAGAGACATGTAGAGGGAGGCCGGTGGGAAAAAGGAAATGGAGGGGACTGAACGCTGATGCTATGGAGGAAAAGGCCTGGGAGGGACGCGGATCAAACTGGCGGAAAGGAGAGAGCAGGGCAGCGTCTCTGGTCCGGCCATGCCTGCTGCCGTCCTGAAAGAACCAGCTCTGAAGTGCTGCCTGTTCCTCTCTCCCATTCAGACTCAGCGGGTGCTCCGGGCCCTGAGCACCTGAGCCAGTGCCAGAACCTGACACTCTACCGGAGCTTCTGTGCCATGAAGTATGCCATCTATGCCCTCTGTGTGAACTCACACCAGCACACCCAGTGCCAGGAATGCAAAGACAGTCTCTCAGAGGACCTGGCTGTGGCTGCAGAGCCAGTGAATGATTCCGTCTCCCCCTCAGGTACAGAAACCCCTCCCCCCAGTCCCTGCTGCAACCTGTTCCACCAGGATTGAGGAGGTGGCCCTTGGTTTTATTATGCCCAGGAATAATTTCATCCATTAATCAGCCTTCTTTAATCGAAGAGACATAGAGAAAGCAAGTGATTTGCCTAAGTTTTAATGGAGTCTGATCACCTGGTGCATTGTTTTCCAAATGCTTTTCCCCCCCTATAATCTACAATAAAAATAGCATTTCACATCACACTTCAGTTTGCACCTAGGTATATAATTTATGTGTTTATATATGTATGTGTATATATGTAGGTAAGTGATATACAAACTAAACTTTTGAGAAACGATATATTCACCCTTCCAAACAGAGCACACTCTTGATTATTTTTCTGTTGTATGATATTTCTTGTTGTTGTTTTTTTTGAATGCAGCCTCTAAGTCAGGGGTGGGGAACGTCCAGCCCATGGACTGTATAAGGCCCACAAAATCATTTGTCTGGCCCTGCCAAGGCATGAGGGGTGAGTTAATTAAATGTTTGACCGAATTTAGCAGGCTGGTTTTTAAGTTGATAATTTTGTGTGGCCCGCAAATGATGTTATAAATATCCAAATGGCCTTGGCAGAAAAAAGGTTCCCCACCCCTGCTCTAAGTCAATGTCATGGATCACAGCTACAGTGTGAAAGAACCTATTTCCTATCCTCTCTCATTTTTCTTAATAACTTACATTTAACTTGCCTTGTGTGACTGCTGGTCAATTCTCTCTCTCTTGTAGCTTTGGGATGGACCTTCTCTGAGCATGGTCATTTTTGACCAGTGAGTATTTCTTAAGAGATCTAGGTAGCCCTTGATCTTCTTTAGTGTAACAATGAGTGAAAATGGAATTGAGGAGTAAGGAGCCTATTATGGAGTGCTTGTGAGAGATGAAGAATAATGTAATATTTAAAAAGCAGAAACAAAATAACAAGTGTTCAGTGAGCTGTACTTCTAATTAACGTACAAACTCTGCAAATCATGAAAAGACGTTGATGAGGAGTCTCTTATTCTTCTGACTGTAACTGCAATTTCTTTAGTCATTAAAACATAAATGAGTTAAAGTTGGGTGAATGTTTGAGTCTGGCAAGTAATGTTTCTAAGGTCTGCATTTTCTCTGCCCTCTTCTCTGATACATGCTACTTCAGGTGCTTCAAATCTCTTCTCAACATACTTGGCCAGGTGTCAGCAGTATCTGTGCGGTGTTCCTGACTCTTTGCGCCTGGAACTTCTAGAAAACATCTTCTCATTGCTCCTCATGACCTCTGCCGATCTTCACCCAGAGCCTCACCTGCCCGAGGACTATGCTGAGGAGGATGACATTGAGGGGAAGGACCCATTAGGTTTGGGGTCTCCACCAGAGAGCCCTCAGCACATAGCACAGCCTGAAAGGAAGTCAGAACGGGGTTCCCTGGGAGTCCCCAGGAGCCTTGCTGATACACTTCCAAGCTGTCTGAAGACAGAGCCAAAAGACAGTTCCCCAGAGCCTCACGGGCACAGCTTTTTGGACCTCGAGCACCTTACCAGTGGTGTCAGCGGGTTCCTGGCTGATGAGTTTGCAATGGGGGCCTTCCTCAGGCTCCTCCAGGACCAGCTGGAGGAGCTCAGCAGCCACAGTCCCCCTGACGACCCAACGCTGCCGGAAGGCCAGAACTGCCCGGAGAGCAGACATGGACCACAGAGCCGCCTGCACCGGTTTTCTAAGGTTCTCTCTGAGGCCCAGTGGAGATACAAGGTGGTAACAAGCAACCAGAGCTCAGGTGAGAGGGGGCAGCAGAACCAGTGGGTCCAGAAAGTGAGGCGGGAGAAAACCCCCAGGAATGTGGGAGAGAGCGAGGACGAGTGCATGGGAGTCACTCCATAACTCAAGGCATAAACATAACAACTCATGTCAGAACCATGCCTCAGAGCCCAGTCCAAATCTTCCCCTACCTGTTACCCCACGAGGTGGGTCAAAGCAAAATTGATCTCTCTGCTGCCTTACCCATTGGGTTTGCTGTTTCAGAGGAGCAACCTTTCCGAAGATACCGGCCCATCGCCACATGGCACCCTAGTCTCCGCCGGGGTCGTCGGACACGAAGGAGCCGGGCAGGTAATGGATGGGCTCTCCTCATGCCTTATTCCCATGCACCGGCAAGTGGCATACTGCCTCTTGTGTAATATTCTGTAAGATAAAGCCCATGGTACACACACAAAAACAAAAGTGATCTAAGTTTATCGTAGTCCCACTCCACCAAGGTAACCCTTGCTAATAGTTTCCTTCTAGAAATTTTCCACACAGTGCAAGTATATATATCATTTCATGTATTCAGATGTGTCATTGAGAACTAACTTTTTTCACTGATGTCCTTTTATATGTCTCATACTGTATATTGACAACTGACTTTTTTCTCTTATTTTAAAAGCTGCTTAATATTCCATTGTTATATGTACCCTTTTGTGGGCACTTAAGTTGTTTCCAGTTTTTTTACTATTATAAACAATGCTACAGTAAACAACCCTGTATATATGTCTGTGCATACTTGTGTGAGTATAGCTATAGGATAAGACCCTAGCAGTAGAATAGCAAGGTCAAAGATACGTGGAAATAAAGATTTACCAAATTGCCTTTTAAAAAAAAAAAAAAGATGAACCAGTTCACATTCCCACCAATGTTTATGAGTGCCTGTTTGCACACACATTCATTAAAAATGAGTATTATCAGATTTTTTCAAAGCTGGGCCAATATGATTAATACAGCAATGTTTATCATTGTTTTAATATTAGCTTTTAGTTTAAGGTTGAATGTCTTTTATATATTTACTGGCAATTTACATTATTTCTGTGAGCTGCCTATTCATGTCTGAGGTCCATATTTTCTGTTGAGTTCATCTTTCTTATTGACTTGTAAGAAGCTTTTTATACATTATGGGTAATATTCTGTCATTATGTGCTAACTTTTTTCCCCTTCATTTTGTCTTTTGAATTTGAATTTTTCTTACAGAATTTTATACAGGACCATTATACAGGTGTGTTAAATTTTTAGATAATAAAATTTCCATTATGATTTTTGGTGCTGGTTTTTAAATAATTAATGGAATCCATAAGAGTTTCCTATGTGCTAAATAACACGCGGTATCTTGAGGGAAGTGAATGAGGCTTACATCAGGACTTTGCCTTCAAAGGATTGATAATGTACCTACACAGATGGTATACATGAAACACTTAAACTGCACAGAGGCACTGCCTGGAAACAAGCTGTCTCTAGGAGAGAGCAGCATCGCCTACAGAAGTCAGGGAAACAGGTTTTATGGAAAACGTGGCTCCAGAACCAAGCTCAGAATGAGAAGGCTCCAGCAGTGGCAATGAGAAAAGTGAACATAGTGGGTAGAATGGAGGATATTATGAGAGAAACCTGGAAAACGTCAAGGCTGAGTTGCTAAGGCCCTTAAGCTGCTCAGTTAATTGGTTTGAGTCAAAGACTTGCATCCACTTGACACATCCACCCCAAGAATGCACACGCCATCTTTCCTACAGCTGTGTGTCCTTTCCAAATGGTGAGCCACGCAGACGCCCTTGCGTAGGGCTCGTATTACCCTGGGGTGACCACCCTAGGAAGAGTGAGCCTCCATTCGCTATGAAGAGCCATGTTGAGAAGGAGCTTTTCCACAAGGGCACTAAATAACGGGGTCCTTAGCATGAGAACAGCTTTTGCTATGTCAGAAAAACTTGTGCCCTCCTTTGCACCCTCCTACTTTCTAGTCATATTGCCAGTGCTTGGTGAGCAGACAGGTCGCTGACCCCTAGAAGTAACTTGAAAGCCCTGGGGCTCTGAGACCCACATGTTGGAACCATTGGTATAAGCTGCTACCCAATGAGCATTGGCGCCATATTAAGCCCACCCTTCACCTTTGGTCTGTAGGAACTTGCATTTTGCTGTAGAAGCAGTAGATATGTTACTTAACCATTATCCTTTCACTCTACCCAGATCTTGATTTTCAAGCCAACTTCTACATTTTAAGGAGTTGATGGTTGATTTTCTCTCTTCCTATCACCTCTAGATGGCCGGGACAGAGGTTCCAATCCCTCCCTGGAAAGTACAAGTAGTGAGCTGAGCACAAGTACTTCAGGTATGGGGGTCCCAACCAGCTGCCCACTTCAAGCAGCTTTGCCCTGATACGGAGTTGCCACACACCCTGGTGTAGAAACCTGGACTGAGCAGTTCTTGTGTTTTTAATCCTCATCCAAGGGTATTTTTCCATTGATTTTTTAGAGAGAACGGAAGAGAGAGGGAAAGAGAAAGAGAAACTTCAATGTGAAAGAAACACATTGATTGGTTGCCTCCTGCACTAGCCCTGACCAGGGCCCGATCTGGGGAGGAGCCTGCAACCAAGGTACATGCCCTTGATTGGAATTGAACCCAGACCCTGCTATCTGCAGGCCCACGCTCTATCCACTGAGCCAAGCCGGCTAGGGCACAGTCTTATTTGTAAGATAAATAAGTCCTGGGGATGTAATATACAGCATGGTGACTATAGTTAACACTACTGTATTGTGTATTTAAAAGTTGCTAAGAGTAGATTTTAAAAGTCTCAAGAAAATTTGCAACCATGTGTGATGATGAAAACTAAACTTTGGTGATAATTTCACAATATATCAGATCATTATGTTGTACTAGTATACCTAAAACTAATACAATGTTATATGTCAATTATATATCAATTTCTTTAAAAAGAAGTTTGGTTCTGCCCATGGCCAAACAGATTTCAGTAGGGAAAGGGCTGTGTCACTATCAGTCAAGTTACCCATTAGCAGAGAGAAACAGGTGAATACCTAAGAATGTACTTAAGTATTATATTCAAACATGATAGCATAGGTTTGCCCTTCAATTGAGGGAAAATCAATACCCACTTACACACCTTTTAAAAAAGAAACTTTTTGAAGATAAAGAGTTTGGTGGGAGGTTACAGCAGTATAGTTTTTCCTCAATTTCTATTGCTTCCTTTCCCTCATCTTCTGTGTCCCAACAGAGGGAAGTCTGAACATCATGTCTGGAAGGAATGAGTTGCAGCCCCAAACTCAAAGTTCATTCATCCCCATGATGTTCTCCCCACCTGAGTCGCTGCTGGCATCCTGCATCCTCCGGGGGAACTTTGCAGAAGCCCATCAGGTAAGGGGCTGGGCAGCTGGTGTTAGTAGCCTGGGCCTCACCTTGTCATAGAAAAGAATGTGAGGTCCACCTCTAGCCATCTGGAACCTGCTGGGCCTCAGGCAGAGCTGGATACCTGTGCAACCAGAGCCACTTGGGAACATTAGAGGGGCCACATCCAGCAGGAGAAACAGGAGAGAGTTTCCATGTACAAGGCCCAGTCCCCAGCATTGCAGATTTCAAAACCCAGATTGCAGGAGGTTTAAGCTGTTGAATCATTGGTTTGTTTTAACATAAATCGTGTTTAACAAGATAAAATATTTAGCTACAAGCTCACCGTTTCAAAACATGGAAATAATTTGGTTTCTTTCCTTATAAGCCTTCTCTGAACACATACATGTTTTTAATAGTTAAAAGTCATGATGCAGACAATGTTTAATAAGAAATAGAATGCCAGTTCAATATACAAGTGTAGGGGCTACCAAACTAAAATGTTCGTGTTGTCGAGGGATGGGTGCAAGAAGAAATCAGAAAGACCTGCCCTCCCTGAGCTTCTGTATCTTCACTTAAAAATCAGAGTTAAATATAATACCTGCTTGTCCTACCTCGTGGGGTTAAGAGGATTCTGTACAAGCTGTGAGAAATATAAGAATCCTCTGCTATTGTTTAAATTTAATAGCATGAAAACCTACCTTTCTAATTTTTAAAACTTCATTGATATATTTATCACACTGTGCTCGTCCCTTAACATGCAGGTCAGAATTTTTCTTTCATTTTAGTTCAGTTGTTGAAGAATAAGTCAAGGATAAAATCTAGGCGATAGGAGAACTTTTGAGTAGCTTCCTCTGGTCATTTTAGGTTCCATACTTTAATGACAGTGGTAACTCTGACCCTCTAGGGAGGATAGGACCCTCACCAGCCTTTGTTACACCCAAATCCAGAGTTAAGTCAACTGTGAGCCCCTGATCCTTTACCCCTAAATGTCCTCACTTCCGCTTCCTTTCCTGGACCCTTGATTTTTTTTTTTTAAATGAAAGTCACCTTTTTAAAAAATATATTTTTTTATTGATTTCAGAGAGGGAGAGAGAGATAGAAACATCATTGATGGGAGAGAATCATTGATTGGCTGCCTGCTGCACACCTCCTCCTGGGGATCGAGCCCACAACCCGGGCATGTGCCTTTAACCAGAATCGAACCTGGGACCCTTCAGTCCACAGGCCAGTGCTCTATCCACTGAGCCAAACTGGCTAGGGCTTGAATTTTTTTTTAATAAAAGCTTTATTTTTTTAGCCTGGTTACAGAATAAGCCATGCATATTACAAGTAAATACCAAAGGTATTAGCAAGAAAATAATATTACTTGTAACCCTATTGTCCAGAACCAATAAAGGTAACAAATACTCTTTGCCATTATTTTTCCAAGATCCATGTGACTTTTATATAGCCAAGATTATTTTGAATTTAAAACCTTATATAATGCCTTCTTAACATTTGCCTTGTACCTGATTTAATGACCTTACAGTAGTCTGATCAGGCAGCTGCATTTGACCATTCTCCTGTTACTCAACATTTAGATTACTTTCAACCTTGTAATAAATAGTGCCAAGATTATCACCTTTAGGCATTAAGCCTTTTGAATTGTTTCTGTAAGAAAGTTTCTCATGAAAATTTCTGTGTCAAAGAATATAAACGTTTTTAAAGCTTTATGGATTGCCAAATTGCTTTTCAAAAAAGGTTGTGACAGTTCCTTTTACCACTACCCCCTGAGGGCTTATTTTTATACTTTGTCATTGTGATAGATGCAAAATGGTATTAATGTGACTGAAATTCCCTAGATTACTGAAAGGGATAACATTTTTCATCTAGGTATTAGTCATTCATTTTCTCTGAAATTGTCCACATCTTCTGCCAATTTTCTACTGGGGCTGTGGTGGCTTTCATGCTGGCTTGGATAAGTAATTTCTATATTTGATCTACTCTTCTAACATGCAGTGCTCTTCCCATCCTACAAAGCGGATGTTTTAGGGCCATAGTCTAATGATAGGCAAGATCCCGTATCTCTAGACAATGGGCCCACCACAGCCACACTCCCGCCTGTCTTGTACCAGGTGGTGTTCATGTTCGACCTGAAGTCCTCGCCCAGCTCAGGGGAACTGATGTTCGTGGAGCTCTACCAGGAGGTGATCCAGGAGCTGGCCCGTGTCGAGCACAAGATTGAGAACCAGAACTCAGACGGGGGTAGCAGCACCATTCGAAGAACTGGCAGTGGCCGCTCAACTCTACAGGCCATTGGCAGCGCTGCGGCGGCAGGTCAGGCTTCCCCGTTGCCACCACAGGGGGGGAGGTATCTGGGGAAGGAGGGTGTCAGGGGAAAAGCCACCCAAACAATAGGCTCATCATCATGAAGGTGAGCAGAAATCCAGGGCAGGACACTTGGATTTGAAGAACAGCAGACTGAGGTTTGGTTTCTAGCTGTGCCCAACTTCCCTGACCATGGCAGTCACATACCTACCACTCGAGCTACTCCATTAAGCTTGTCCTGTGTGACTAACACTGAAGAGTGTGAATGCTCTTGTCACCATGTGTTTTCATGGCCACTATCTTGTCCTTTGGGAAATGGTTAGGAGTTTATTTCCTTCCATGTAACTATTCAGGATAAAGCATATTATTTCACTTTTCCATAAAGTGAAAAAGTTGTGTTTAACTCATGGCCTGCAATTCACAGGTCTCAATTCTCAGCCATGGCTGCACTGCAAAAACTGATCCTTTCATTATTTCTTTTTTTCCCACTGTGCAACCTGCTTCAGTGACTGTAGCCAGCCCACAGGCAGAGGCCAGGCAATGGTTCAAGGCCACAATTTGCTCTGCGTGGGACACTATGAGAGAGCCAGGGGGACAGGCCTGCCATTTTCTTGAAAACCTATGCATTTTCTTAAAAGAGGAATCATGTCCCACGTTTTCACATTATCTTACTGGTCTAGGCTCTGTGTACCATCCCAGAACAGGTAGCATCCCACGTTGCTCCTCTGTTCTCCCAGAATTTTCAATAGCTATTCAAAAATATATATGCACTTTTTGCTTTTAATATAAATGGGCTCTTACAGCATATTTTAGAGATCTTTTCTGATGAGCACACAGATCCACCTCATTCTTTCTCAACCTGCTTTTAGATCCCATTTGGAAGAAGCCCTCACTCATCTCCTCCATTTTGGTTTCTCTTGGTCTTCCTTTCCATGCCGTTGTTTTGATGCCATAAGAATGGGTTGCAATGATGGTACTAATATGCATAGAAGATACCCTGTGCAGAAGGACCTAAATAAAATAAAATAAAATAAAATAAAATAAAATAATAAAATAAAATAAATAAATAAAATAAAATAAATAAAATAAAATAAATAAAATAAAATAAAATAAAATAAATAAAAGTGGCATATAGAATCATTTTAACCTTACTTTCTGCTCCACTGCTGGTACCCAGGGATGGTATTTTATTCCATCTCGGACGTGACCGACAAGCTGCTCAGCCCCTCTGGAGACCCCATCCCCGCGCTCCAGGAGGACTTCTGGATAAGCAGCACCCTGCTGGAGCCCACTGACCCCCTGCGAGAGGTTCTGGAAGAGCTCAGTCCCCCCGCCATGGCTGCGTTCGACCTCGCTTGCTCTCAGTGCCAGCTCTGGAAAACCTGCAAGCAGCTCTTGGAAACGGCTGAGCGACGTCTGAACAGCAGCCTTGAGAGCCGGGGTGAGTGCTTCCACTTTAGTCCTTCCTTCTCAAATGGATTTCTGAGAGACTTGAGAAAATGTGCAAGAAAAAAGCACTTACCGGGGAAGGAGGGACAGGGAGAGCGGATTAGTTAATTTCCTCGTGTGCAGCCTGATGGCATAAATATAGTCTGCTGAGAGCCTCACCTTCTTACTAGACATAGCATTCTGCAATAATGGAGAAATTGTTTTCTGATTTACAGAGAAATTTAAAGAATAAATAGACATTCAAAAATGGTGTAAATGGAATTTGTCTTTAGACTACATTCCCCTTTCTGAGTGAACCCCACTTAATCTATGATAGTCTTGAGTTTGTAAACCACGTATAAGGGAAAATGTGGAGGGAAGACTGTACCTTGAGGTAAATGACATCAAAATGTGTACATGGAATTCTTGGAGGAATGAAGGTAGAAGAATGTGAAGATAGATTTGGGTAAAGTTCACACACAGCAAACATTGGAAGGACTGACTCAGGAGGGAGAAAGGAGCCTGTTTTCTCAGTGATGAGGACGAGGAACAGTTAATAGGTTGCAATGTGAACAGCCACTCCTGAGTTCAGTGATTCCTTGAGAACTCACAGGACTCAGCATGTAGTCACACTCATGACTAAGATTTATTTCAGCAAAAGGATACAAAGCAAAACCAGCAGAGGGAAAAGGCTCATGGGATAATCCACAGAATCTAAGCAAAAGACTTCCAAGAGTCCTCTCCCTGTGGAGGCATAGAGGACAGGCTTAATTCCCCCAGCAGTGAGTTGTGACAAGGCTGAAGTGTTGCCTATAGGGAAGCTCATTAGAGACACAAGCCCAAGGTTGTTACGGGGTGCTGGTAACAAAGGCACCCTCTGCCCATTGTGTTCCAGAATTCCAGACTCTCAGAAGGAAAGCAGGTGTTCAGACTGAACCATGGTGTACAGAGAGCGTAGGCACAATGAGCCCCTCTCATCATTTAGGGAAACTTTTATGCAGTATAGGAAACCGTTTGCCAGTGAAGGTCACAGATACCGCCAAGGGCCAACCTTGAGAGCAGGCCTTTCTGAGGACAGAAGTCTCAGGCCTGCTGTGTTAACTCTCTTCTGCACACCTCTCCAAATCACTTCTGAGCTGCCGGTTAATATGTCCTTTAATGCCCACATGGTCCTTCTAAGAAAGTATACTGTGGCACTTGTGATTCTTTTTTTGGGAACAATTCTCCCCCTCATCTAGCACTTTTATCCTATATAATAAAAGGCTAACATGCAAATCAACCAAACGGCAGAACGACCAGTCGCTATGAGGCGCATTGAACACCAGGGGGCAGATACTCAACACAGGAGCTGCCCCCTGGTGGTCAGTGCACTCCCACAGGGGGAGTGCCACTCAGCCAGAAGCCGGACTCATGGCTGGCGAGCACAGCGGTGGTGGCGGGAGCCTCCCGCCTCTGTGGCAGCGCTAAGGATGTCTGCAGTCGGACATTCCCCAAGGGCTCCCAGACTGCGAGAGGGCACAGGCCGGGCTGAGGGTCTCCCCACCCTCACCCCCCCAGTGCAAAAATTTTGTGCACCAGGTCTCTAGTTCTAAAATAAAAGGGGATATTACTCAAACTGTTAGTAGCTGAAACAGTTTCAGGCCAATTAGGAATTAATTTAGTACCTACTGTGTCTCCAGATTATCCCAAGTATAGGTGTATTGGGGAGGTATAATGAGTCATCTCTTAATAAAATTGTTCATAGTGAGGGTTCAAGATCCTACTTGAAGCAGTTAGAGAAGACAGATACGTTCTCAGGTCAAGTCCTCAGCTGAGGGCAGTACCAAGGCAAACCCACAGGAAGTGCCTTATTGGCTGGGGACGGCGATTGCATGGCAGTGCCAGAGATTCTCGGCCTGCTGCGCTGACAACTGAGGCATCTTTTAGGAGATGGCCCTGGCACCTCAGGCAGAGAAGCCAGCTGTGCTGGCTGTCACCCAAAATGGCACAGCATCTATTTCCTCCTTAATATTCGAGAACATAAAATTGCACAAGCAAGCACAGGACTGAGAAGCAGTCTCTGAAAGTACCTTATTTTTTCTGCATTCCCTCTTCCTTCATCTGGTCCCAGGTCGGCAGCTAGACCATGTCCTCCCCAGTGCTGATGGCATTCGAGGTTTTCCAGTTGTTCTTCAGCAAATCAGTAAGATTCTCAATTATTTACTCACATCAGCCGGACAAACTAAATCAGGTGAGTTTGCTTTTCTCCCTTTTTTTTTCTCCCGGACTCAGAACACTAGGTCAACATCAACCTTACTTTTTCTTTCTCATTTGCTTTCAATAGAGAGCATAGAAGAAAAAGGAGGAGGCCTTCCCCGGTGCAGCATTGCCGAGCTGCTTCAGACGTGCTGGCCCAGCCTCACTGAGGACTGCGCCGCCAGCCATGCCACCCTCTCCCAGCAGCTGGACCAGATCCTTCAGTCGCTGAGGGAGGCACTGGAGCTGCCAGGTACCGGTCCAAGTGTGGGAGCAGATGAGGACTGAACTCGGGAGAGGAAGCTGGAGCAGAGGCTTAGGACTTCAGCAGTGAGCCCTACTAGCCCTCCAGTTCACCAGTGCACGTCTCATAACTAACTCCACTGTTCCCCTGCCTCTCAGGTGAAGGGATTGTTAGCACTCATTAGCTGATACATCTTTCTTATCCCTAAGGAGCAATATATCCCAAAGTTACTCAGTAAATACTGATTAACCCTTCCCCAAAAGCCATTCGAACCCCAGAGTCACAGGGGTGAGCACAGAACCATTCACCCTGATTTCTCCCAACTCAAAGCTCTTCCTGGCTGGGAATCAACTTGGGAGTTTCTAGCTGCTTGTAAGTGTAGTCCCGAGCTATGGAAGGCCCCATTCAGTGGACGGAAGCCCAGTTCACATAATTGTGTTGGAAATTGTCCCAAAGCTGGACACACAGACTAAAGCCTCCATCCTTTCCACCATTGCTGCTCTCAGAGCCAAGGAGTTCTCCGCTCTCGTCCCTGGTGGAACAGGCGGCCCAGAAAGCTGCGGAGACAGAGGCCCACCCTGTGCACATCCAGACTGAGCTCCTCCAGAAGACCCTGGGCAGACAGGCCCCCGTGGGCAGCGGGCAGACAGACTACATGGGCACCTTCTCCAGTTACTGCAGCACCTTGGCTGCAGTTCTTGTTCAGAGTCTGCGCTCTGAGCCTGGTAAGTAGCAAGAAAGAGGAAACATGGGTGTTTAGAGCGAGGAAGAGGAAAGATTCAATTAACAGGTTCTGGACACAGCAGTAGCCAAGGTCACTCGATTCATAAGGTCTTCTCTTAGTCTTCAGTGTTTTATTCACCTTTGTCTCCCCAGTACCTAGTATGGTTGTACAGCACATGAAGTGCTCAATAAACTGTGACGGCTTTAATGACTCAAAAAGACCTTAGACCTTCAGCCTGTCGTGGGCATGAGGACCCAGAGGAGGAGCCAAGTCTCTGATCTAAGTGCCAGATTCCTACTTTCGTCCGCGGACTGAGTGTTGCCTGCACCCCAGTCACGTTGGAGGAGCAGGAGGAGCTCATTATTTTGTTATTGGTTCTGGAAAACAGGACTATGAACTGTGTAGTCAGTGGTCACTTTCTTTACCTTTGCAGATCATGTGGAGGTCAGAGTTGGAAATCCCTTTGTTCTCCTGCAACAAAGCTCTTCCCAGCTGGTGTCGCACCTCCTGCTTGAGCGACAAGTTCCACCAGACAGGTAGGAGCTACCCTATGGGAGTCGAGCATGGGCCTGCCTAACTGTTTAATCAGTGACAGTGAGGGCTTCCTGGAGTTGTGCCTGGGTTCAATATAGGGAGTAAAGTTACTTCTAGACTTAGCCCTTGATTGGCATTTACTCTTATACAGCTACATTGAAATTCCTTTCTCTCTCTCTTGCCACCACTAAAATTTACATCACAAATATAAAATTAAGGGAAGAATCTTCATTTAGGAATAGGAAAAAATCTAAAAATTTGTTAACACATTAGTTGGCTAGGCTGTAGAAGAACAAGCATTCTCATGGCTTGGTGGGATATAAATTTCCACAAGCCCCTATGTGAAGGCAGTTTGTCCATATCTACTAAAATTACAAATTCATTTATCCTTTGACCTAAAAATTCATGTTGGGGAGTTTATCCTGTGGCTTTATTATACATATGGAAAATGATGTCTGTTATAGCCTTATATGTAACTAGAGGCCCGGTGCACGAAATTTGTGCATGGTTGTATGGGGGGGTCCCCTCAGCCCAGCCTGCTCCCTCTTGCAACCCAGGACTCCTCGGGTAGGGTCCCTAGGCCTGGCCTGCGATCAGGGCCTATTGGGGCTTTTTTTCCCCTGGCTGCTGGCAGTTAGCCCTGCCCCTGCTGCTGCCACTGCTTGCCATCTGTGCGGCGCTCCCCACCCCCACCCCCACCCCTGCCACTAGTCGCCTCCCTCTGTGGGCAGCAGGCGTGGGGTGCGATCGCTCGGCTGGCCTGGGCCTCCCTCTGTGGGGCGATCATTGGCCGGCCCCTCACACCTGCCACAGTGTCGCTGGCCAGTGGTGTGGGCCTCCCTTTGTGGGGCAATCAATTGCGGGGCCCCCAGATCGCCCCACAGAGGGAGGCCCCGCCCACCCACTGCAGCCTCCCTCTGTGGCCACTGGCCGGGTGGCCTGGGCCTCCCTCTGCATGGCGATCATGGGACGATGGCAGGGCTCCCCGACCAATAGCATTGCACCCGCCTTGCCTTGCCTGGCCTGGCACCAGTGTGTGTCATAGTGTGGTCATCTGGACGGTCATTCTGCTCTTTGGTTGTTTGGTCGATTTGCATATTACGCTTTTATTATTATAGACTAGAGGCCTGGTGCACAAAAATTTGTGCACTTGGGGCGGTCCCTCAGCCCAGCCTGTGACCTCTTGCAGTCTGGGACCCCTCGGGGGATGACCACTTGCCAACTGGGAGCAGGTCTAAGCTGCAGTCGGACATCCTTAGCACTGCTGAGGAGATGGGAGAGGCTCCCACCACCACTGTACTGGCAGCTGTCAGCCTGGCTTGTGGCTGAGCAGAGCTCCCCCTGTGGGAGTGCACTGACCACCAGAGGGCAGCTCCTGAATTGAGCATCTGCCCCCTGGTGGTCAGTGTGTGTCATAGTGACCAGTCATTCCCAGTTATTCTGCTGTTAGGGTCAATTTGCATATTACCCTTTTATTATATAGGAGTGCCTAGCCAGCCTGGGTGAGGGACTGATGGCTGTTTGCAGGCTGGCCACAACCCCTTCAGGGTGGGGATCCCTGCTGGGATGCCTGGCCAGCCTGGGTGAGGGGCTGATGGCTGTTTGCAGGCTGGCCACAACCCCTTCAGGGTGGGGATCCCTGCTGGGGTGCCTGGCCATCCTGGGTGAGGGGCTGAGGGCCGTTTGCAGGCTGGCCCCAGCCCTGCAGGGGGGGCGGGGGGTCTTGCTGGGGTGCCTGGCCAGTCTGGGTGAGGGGCTAAGGGCTGTTTTCAGGCTAGCTAAGCCCCCCAACGGAGACCCTCACCCCATGAGGGTTTGGCCAGCCTGGGTGAGGGGTTGATGGCTGTTTGCAGGCTGGCCACAACCCCCAGCCACCCAAGCTCCCAGTGGAGGCTGGCTGGAAGCAGGTATCTGGGATTTATTTGTCTTCTATAATTGAAACTTTGTTGCCATGAGCCGAGGCCTCAGCCAGCTCAGGGCTGGCGGGAAGCTTGGCTTCCTCCATTGCCCGGGCAACTAAGCCTCCCGCTTGCTCCAGCTCCATGGCTGCCGGCCGCCACTGGAGGATCCCGGGTTCGATTTCGGTCAAGGGCATGTGCCTTGGTTGCGGGCACATCTCCAGTGGGGAGTGTGCAGGAGGTAGCTGATCAATGTTTCTCTCTCATCGATGTTTCTAACTCTCTATCTCTCTCCCTTCCTCTCTATAAAAAATCAATAAAATATATTTATAGAAAAATAAAAGAACTGAGGAGCCTCTCTGTAGTGTAGTGTAGAGGGATATGGACTGATCTCCAAGATACGTTATTAAGTAAAAAAGCAAAGGACAGGGCAGTATGTCTAATAGGCAACCTTTTGTGTTTAAAAGAAGAGGGGAGACAATTAAAGAGCCTGCATGTACATTTGCTCATGTGAACATAAGGAAAGTCAGAGATTAGCTAATGGTGCCTATGCTTCTCTCCTTCCAGGCTAGCAGCCCTTCTGGCCCGAGAGGGACTCAGCCTGAGTGTGCCTCAGGTCATCGTCAACTGCTGCTGTGAGCCCCTTGCCCTATGCCCTTCCCTGCAGAGCCAGCAGATGTCATCTCTCCTGACCCACCTGGGCGTCCTGGCCCAGCTGCACACCTCCCACTGCCTGGATGACCTACCCCTTTCTGCACAGAGCTCCCCAAAGCCAACTGAGAACCCCACATCAGAGAAAAAGCCCAGCTCCTCCTCAAAGGATTCATCACCCTCAGCCCTTACCTCCTCTGCCTTGGCCTTCCTTAAATCCCGCTCTAAGCTGCTGGCTACAGTGGCCTGTCTGGGGGCTTCCCGGGGATCAAAGGTCACCAAGCCCAGCTTGTCATGGAAGGAGCTTCGTGGCCGCAGGGAGGTACCTCTCACTGCAGAACAGGTAGCCCGGGAGTGTGTTCGCCTTCTGGAACAGTTCCCTATGTTGGAGGCCTCGCTCCTGGCCGCCTGGGAGCCCCTCCGAGGGTCCTCCAAGCAGGAGCAGAGTCTGGCAGCGAGTCTCTGTGGCCAGGCTAGTCTCTCTACTGTCCTCCTGGGCCTGCATTCTCCTGTTGCCCTGGATGTGCTCACTGAGGCCTTCAAGGAAGCCCTGGTGGCCAGAGATTGGCCCCGGGCCCTTCAGCTCACTGAAGTGTACGGTCGAGACTTGGACGACTTGAGCAGCATACGGGATGCAGTCCTGAGCTGTGCTGTGGCAAGTGGTGAGCAGAAAGCTACATCTCTCTCCTTCACTACTGCTCATAGAATTTAGCACTCACTGAGTGTATCATCACATTTGATCCTCACAGTAACTCTAGAGCAGCGGTTCTCAACCTGTGGGTCGCGACCCCTTTGGCGGTCGAACGACCCTTTCACAGGGGTCGCCTAAAACCATCCTGCATATCAGATATTTACATTACAATTCATAACAGTAGCAACATTACAGTTATGAAGTAGCAACGAAAATAATTTTATGTTGGGTCACAACATGAGGAACTGTATTTAAAGGGCCAGAAGGTTGAGAACCACTGCTCTAGAGGAAGATGCCACCATAAGGGTAGGAAACTTGCCCACGAGAGTAAGTGGTGGAGCAGCGCTTAAAACCTAGGTCTAACCTTAGAACACGTATTCATAACCAATATTCTCGAACCTGCATATCAGAACCATTGGAAAATTCAATAAACCACAAACATCTGAGCTCCATCCCCAGGAGCCTGGGATGGAATTAGGTAAATGTTTACTTTAAAACAGGGATCAGCAAATTTATTTTATTTTTTAATATATTCTTACTGATATCAGAGAGGGAGAGAGAGATAGAAACATCAATGATGAGAGAGAATCATTGATTGGCTGCCTCCTACATGTCCCCCACTGGGGATCGAGCTTGAAACCCTGGGCATGTGCCCTGATCAGGAATGGAACCATGACCTCCTGGTTCATAGTTCAAAGCTCAACCACTGAGGCACGCTGGCCAGGCAAATTTTTTCTTTTAAGGGCTTTGAAATCCATAGAGTCTCATTTGAAACTACTCAACTCTTCCATTGTAACATGAATGAAAGCAGCCATAGAGGATATAGAAACAAATGAGCATGGCTATATTTTAGTAAGACAATTTATAAAAACAGCCCATGGGCCTGCTTGACCACCCCTACTTGAAAAGCTCCCCAGGAGATTTTGATGTGTGACCAGAGTTGAGAGCCAATGACCTACAACACTCCACTTGGGGGAGTAAGATCGTGTAGTGTAGTGAATGGTTTCTGGGTAGAGGGCCTGGCTCCCTTGTGGAAAGAAGAAAATCCATCCTGAGAAGGGGGAAGGAGTCCCCTGACTGGATGGTTATGCAGTTTTCTCTGTTTGGAGTCTGTTTTTCAGCTCTGAAATGGGTGGGGGGAGAGAGAGACCTACTAATAATGACAGAGGATACTGAGGGAGTGAAACTAGTTTACCTGAAATAACATTCAAGTAGTTACGTATGGCATCGAGTGGAAATTGCAGGGAAAACGAAAAGTTGCACTGACTCATTGAGTCTGAAATATTGCTATATGTGCAGCACGCCAGAACATGGAGAGCTTCATCTGTTCTGTCTTTCCTCTCTTCCTGCTCCCCTTCTTTCTTCCTATTCTTCCTCTCTTTTCTCCTTCTCTTCCTCTCTCTTCAAAAAGTTTCATGACTAAGTTTGCATAAAGAGAAACAGAGGGTATAACATTTCTCCTTGCCATGTAGTAGTGCTTCCAAGTGTCAAAACTAGTTAAGGTCAGATGGATCTTAACGATCCTCCAAACTCCTGTTTCATGAAAGTGAACAAGGCCCTTCTCTTAAGAAGTAACCTAGCATGGTCGGTGTGGGTCAGTTGGATAGGTGTCATCCCTGCACCGAAAGGGTGCTGGTTTGATTCCTGGTCAGGGCACATGCCTGGGTTGTGGTCTCAGTCCCCAATGGGGGTGCTGCAGAGGCAGCTGATCAGTGTTTTGCTTTCACATCGATGATTCTCTCCCTCTCCCTTCCTCTCTCCCTAGAAGTCAATAAAAATATAAATAAATTAAAAAGTAACCTGGACTCTGGAGCTCTTCTGGTGCCAGGCTTGCTGCCTCTGGGCATCTTTTTGTCTTGTAGACGAAGAAGGTTGGCAGTACCTGTTTCCTGTGAAGGATGCATCTCTGAGAAGTCAGCTAACCCTAAAGTTTGTGGACAGGTGGCCCCTGGAGTCGTGCCTGGAGATCCTGGCCTACTGCATTTCAGACACAACTGTCCCAGCGGAACTAAGGTGTGAACTACAGAGAAAGCTGGCGGAGCTGCAAATGTATCAGAAGGTACATACCCTGGCATCAAGAGAAAGGAACTGCATTTCTCTGTTACCAACTGTACCTAGTCTATTCTCATGTGATGGTGGATTCTAAGAAACAGAAAATCTACGCCTGGCTTTTGCTTTGCATCTGGCTTCTGTTCTTAAGTGAACAACAAGGAGGCCTCCTGTCTGGGTCTTATTTTAATTACTCCTATAATTTTAACATTGGATGATGCTTTATAGTCTACAAAGCCTTTTCACATATACAGGGTGGGGCAAAAGTAGGATTACAGTTGTGAGCACATGAAACACACGGTTTATTTTTGTATTATTATTTATTAACTAGAGGCCCGGCACACGAAATTCGTGCACAGGTAGGGTCCCTAGGCCTGGCCTGCGATCAGGGCCGATCTCCCCTGGCTGCCAGCAGCCGGCCCCACCCCCCACCGCCACAGCCGGTTGCCCTCTGTGTGTGGAGCTACTGGAGGGGCAGTCGGGTCCCCTGCACTGCCTGCGACCGCTGCCACCCATCCCCAGTTCCCCGTTCCCCATCGGGCGATCAGAGCCTTCTGGCTGGGGAGAGAGACCAAGAGGTTGGCCTGCAGGCCCTGATGGAGTGATTGGGGCCTGCAGGCTAGGGGCAACTCCTGCATTGAGTATCTGCCCCCTGGTGGTCAGTGCACATCATAGCTGACTGGTCGTTCTGCCGTCTGGTCAATTTGCATATTACACTTTTATTATATAGGATATGCTATTTTCCATGTGTACTTGGAACTGAACAGAGCCCCGCCAGGGAAAGGCAGGTGAAAAAGATGTTCTTTCCACTTTTGCTCAGCAGTTTTCATTAGGAGCTAAATGCTGCGTGCAGGGTGATCCCACAGAGCATTCAGGCCAGCAGAATTTCTTGGGTAGAGTTTTGAGATGGAGGAGCATGGGGCAAGTGACCCTAGAGCAAGCTGTTACAGAAAGCTCTGAGAACTGTCCTCACAAGTGAAAGGCCCCCATCCTGCCCTCACCACTCAGTCTTTGCTCCCTGATTGTGCTTCCCTGGTAGGTTCACTTTTTCTAAACAATCTTTGCCCTATTTGCTCCATTCCTCCTTTCCTGGCAAGTTATGACACCTGGCTCATCCCTGGAAACTCCAATGACTCGTTCATGGAGGAAAAAGCTGCATTGTGGTTTGATAGCTTTTCCTGTCTTAGATTCTAGGTTTGCAGGCTACCCCAGTGTGGTGTGACTGGCAGACCCTGAGGAACTGTTGTGTTGACGACCCATCAGCTGTCATGAACGTGATTCTAGAAGCAAAGGTACCATTTTCCTGAGTGATATTCCCCTTCCTTCTCTTTTCAGAGTTACAACTCTCTGGCTAGTTGTGTAGACCCTTCCCCTCTTATCAATGTCCAAATTTTTTTATAACTACATCACATTCTTTTTCTGGGGTGTGTGTGTGTGAATTACCAATATACAGAGAAGTATAAAAATAGTAACAGTTGATGCTTTTGTGCTATCACCTTGCATTCATTTTCTGCACTGTATACATTGGGTACAAGATGTATATGTAGCAGTGGAATTGCTGTGTCGTTGGGCAGGAGCATCTCACATTCACTAAGATGTTACCAACTGCTCTTCAAGTCAGTTGCCCTGGTTATACTTCCATTCCCAGTTCCTATTGCTCCATATCCTTACTTTTGGTATTACCCCACTTTTCACTTTTTGCCAATAGGAGTATCTCATTGTTTTAATTTTCATTTCCATAATTAGTAATAACTTTGAATATGTTTTCATGTGTTTATTGGACATTTGAAAGCTATATAGAATTTGTCTACCTTTTCAGGAGCTGATATACCATAGTTCGAAATGTAGATATGCTTATTCAGCTGTTCAGCCACCCAGGAAACATTATTGAATACCTGTTATTTGCTAGGCTCTGTGGTAGATGGTGGTGAAACAAAGAAGATTAAGCTTAGGCTTTATGCTTGAGCGGCTCACATTTTGGGAAGTGGGCCGATGAGAGACAGTATTCCTAGGAAATTATTATTTATCAAGTGACAGAAGTAAGCCCAGACTGTAGTAGGAGCATCCGCGGGGCATCTGCGTAGCCTGAGAAACAAGGAAGCATCCTGAAGAAGACAACACCAGGCAGAGTTGTGGGAGGGCATCCCCAGTGCCACCATTTAGAAAACTTGGACAAGGCCCGGGAGATTCTGTTCTCTGAAATGGTTATCCAGAGTTCACAAACTGGGGGTGAGGAGTAGCAAGGAGGGACATGGGTGGAATCCAACCCCAAACATGTTTGTTTGGCCTATGCAGTATTGGTCTGCAGAATTTTTATTTTTTATATTGATTTTATTGCTAACATTTTAAAATAGGGACCTTTTTTATTTAAAAATTGTTTTAATTTTTTTAAGACTAGTACCTCTGGACCGGCACATTCCTGTGGCCATAGTCAAAGCTGAGTAGGCGTTGTCTCCTTTAGACGGCCTTCTCAGTCTTCCCCAGTTACATTGTATCTCTCAGGGCTGACACCAAGTGTCAGTCACTGTATGTCTGCTTTTCTTTGTTATAATACAGCGGAGATGAAAATCATATCGTTAACAGTCAGCCTGCTTCCATCATTTTCATAACTTACCTGCCCCTCTAGTCCTTTGAGTTTATGATCCCACTTTAATCCTTTAGTGAAATTCCATTCAGCAATTACCAGACTTTCTGGGGCTTTAGCAGACTCAAGAATGCTGAGAAAAATCAGGCAAAAGCTGCATGAATGCCAAGGCCAGTCCTTCAAAGGTATTGAAGGTGTGTGTGTGTGTTTCCTTCCAGGAGTATGGACTGTGTGAGGAGTGGGGCTGCCTCTACCCCATTCCAAGAGAACACTTAATCAGCCTACATCAAAGGCATCTTCTTTATCTTCTAGAAGGAGGAGATCATGAAAAGGCTCTGCAGGTAAGCCTCCAACTTTTCCCATTTGGGCGGGGGTAGGAGGGTACAGGAAGGTTAGTGAAATCAGATGGCTTTGTTCCTGCTTAATTTTGTGCAAATATTCGCAATCTCAGGTCTGCCCCTTCTTGTCCTTCAGGAGGTGGTTATAGTCTAATTCTTGAACAGAATGTGACTAGCTCTGCAGTAGGTACAACTGGGTCCAGGATTCTGCTGGATCCTGTCAAAGCCATCATTTGTGGAGCTGGGGAGTATGGTGGAAAAAAATGAGTGCAGAGAAGGGGTTAGTCTACAATGCATAAATATTTTGTTCTCAAACAAAGCAAGGCTGGACTGCGTGTTCTACAAGCTTCACCTTTCTCCTCTGCCCTTCTCCTACCATAGCTTCTGCGAAGAATTCCTGACCCCTCCATGTGCCTTGAGGTCACAGAGCAATCCCTCGACCAACACCCTAGCTTGGCCACATCTCACTTCTTGGCCAACTACCTCACCACCCACTTCTATGGAAAACTGACTGCTGTTCGACACTGTGAAATCCAGGCACTGTACATGGGATCCAAGGTAAAGAGGACAAGCGGGTATTGGGAAAGCATGCCAAGGGGAGCCTGTTGGCCCAGCTCCCACGTCAGAATTTGCCCGTCAATGGTTCTTCACCTGCCATCTTTGGCCTGTGCTACATAAAATCTTTACCCTAGCAGCCCACCATGTCCTAGCTGAGTCCCTTAGAACTTGTCATTCTCTTACTGCCCCACCTCCAAAGTGAATTTTATCTGGTCCTTTTAAGTTCTCTTTATGCTATCCCTGGCATTGGCTATATCAATTCTGAGCATGTATTAGAATCACCTGGACTTTTTGTTGTTGTTGTTTGTTAATCCTCACCCAAGGATATTTTTCCCATTGATTTTTAGTGAGAATGGAAGGAAGGGCTGGGGAGAGGGAGAGGAAGCGGGAGAGGGAGGGAGAGAGAGAGAAGAAGAAACATGGATTGATTGCCTCCTGCATGCACCGCAACAGGGGCCAGGGATCAAACCTGCAATCCAGGTACATGAACTTGACCAGGAATTGAACCCATGACCTGGGCCAACGCTCTGTCCACTGAGCCACTGTCCAGGGCACCACCTAGTCTTTTTAAAAATAACAGCAGTTGACTTCCACCCCCAGATCAATTAAAACTGAATCCCTTTCAACAGAGCCTGGCTATCTTCCAAAGGGATTCTGGTATGAAGATTTAAAACTACTGCTTGATAAAGGGTTAATTGTCTAGGTAATATGATGAGGAAATAGGCCCTTACCTTTGATACATAACCTTGGAGACACTAGTAGAAAAAAATTATAAACTATAAAAAATAAACAGTGAAGGAGTGTTTGGGGAGAGATGGGGCCTCTGACACTCTTCTAACAATTCTGATTGGCAGTGGGATAGACTGCCCACAAACAGAATGAGCACTGGGACAGCCAGGAATATGATATGACCTCTGGCCCACTTGCTAGGAGTTCAACTACATAAAAGTTCCTGAAGAAAATACATCTTTTTTTTTTCTTTTGATGCATTGTACCTAAATGGAGGACTCCTTGAAAACTGGCACTGAGCAGAACCAATGAACATATTTCAAGGCTAATGATAACAACCTCCAGAAGTTTAGAATAATCATTCACCTGTAGGATATTGGAGATGCCAGGTTAGGCAATCCACTGATATCATCTTAAACTGCTCATTCTAATAAAGCCTCAAGTGGACAGAATTGTGGCTTTAAAGTGAGACAGAGCTCAGCCATTTCTAGAAGGTCTAGGCCAGAGGTCATTAGTCTACCAGCTGTGGGCTAAATGCACTCCTGAGCCTACTTTTGAAATCAAGATTTATTGGAACACAAGTGCATGCAGTCACTTGCATGTTATCTGTGGCTTTTTTCCCACTACACTGACATATGGCCCACAAAGTCTAAGGTATTTACTGTCTGACTCTTTACAGTAAAAGTTTGCTGACCCCTCCTCTAGGTGAAGGTAGTTGGAGTGTACTTTTTTTTTTTTTTTTTTTTGAGAGAGAGAGGAGGGGAGAAGCAGGGGGACATCAATGTGAGAAAGAAACATCGATTAGCTGGGGATCAAACCCATAACCTGAGTATATGTCCTGACCAGAAATCAAACCCACAACTTTCGGTGTATGGGACAATGCTTCAACGGAGTCATATCCTATACAATAAAAGCTTAATATGCCAAGTGTCCGACTGTTCGACCAATCGCCATGACGCACACTGACCACCAGGGGGCAGATGCTCTGACCGGTAGGTTAGCTTGCTGCTAGGGACTGGGTGAGAGGGGCCGTACACGCCCTTGAGCCATCCCATGGTCCCTCCCAGGCTGGATTGCAAGAGGGCACAGGCCAGGCCGAGGGACCCTACCAGCACACAAATCCGTGCACCGGGCCTCTAGTAAAATATATAAACATAAATAACAGCGTCTATATATGAAACAACTATAGCATTTCTAAAATATTTCTAAAGTATTTATTACCACTTGGTTAACCTTATCTGCTGAATTTTAAGTATCATCTCTAACCCTAAAACTAAATTTGGTTCAATACATATCAAATATTAGGCTGCTAAATGCCATAAAACATATTATACATATTAATTATGTTAAGTAATTAAAATTTCCACCTATTCAACCACATTTAGTTTTATACACTCCCTTGCGAACTAGTATACTGGACTAAGTTTTTTTTTAATTTTTTTATTCAGTTGAAAGAGAAAAAAGAAACATCAATTTGTTGTTCCCCTTATTTATGCATTCATTGGTTGACTCCTGTATGTGCCATCACTGGGGATCAAACCCACAATGTTGGCGTATCAGGATAATGCTCTAACCAACTGAACTATCGAGCCAGGCTGGACTAAAATTTAATTCAACAAATCAATCATAGTATATCAGATCTATAAGTTATCACCTGAAGAAAAAATTGATAATTTTCATACTGGTTTTTATAAATAAACTTGGCCCCGATCGTACCCTGGTGGGGTCCCTCAGCCTGGCCTGCACCCTCTCACATTCTGGCACCCTTTGGGGGCTGTCAGCCAGTTTTGGCCCGATCCCTACAGGCCAGGCCGAGGGACCCCACCATTGCACGAATCCATTCACTGGGCCTTTAGTTTTTTAATATGTTTTTATTGATTTTTTTTTTTTGAGAGAGAGAGAAAAGGAAAGGGAAAGATAGAAACATCAATGAGAGAGAAACATGGATTGGTTGCTTCCTGCACACACTAGGGATGGTGTGTGCTACCCAGGCATGTGCCCTGACCAGGAATAGAACCAGTGATCTCTTGGTGCATGGAACGACACTCAACCACTGAACCACACTGGCCGGGCTGGAATGTGCTTCTTGATTGCCTCTTGGAGGATTTAGATAGGAGTCCAGCCTTGCTTCCTACAAGACTACTAGCCAGTTTCAGTAGTTAGCCATGTACCCTTGGTCCCTAGCACCTTCCCTTTCCTAGTAAGAATCTTGGCTTTCTTCTGAGGTTTGGGTACAGTTTTCTTTACTCTGTGGATGTACCCCACAAACAGGTTCTGCTGACCCTGCCTGAGCAGCACCGGGCCAGCTATTCCCACTTGTCCTCTAAGCCCCTGCTCATGCTAGAGCAACTGCTCATGAACATGAAAGTAGACTGGGCCACCGTGGCTGTGCAGACTCTGCACCCACTGCTAGCCAGGCAGGAGATCGGCTTCACCATGGACGACGTTGACTCACTGCTCTCCAGATACGCGGGGAAAGCCCTGGACTTCCCATACTCTCTGAGGGAGAAACGATCAGGTAACTGCCCACACCCTAGGGGGGTTCTACATGGAGTAAGAAAGTACTATACTACATCCTTAGTTTTAATTTCTCCTCTTTTATTATTTTGAGTTGATGGGGATTGAAAGAGAGTAGGGGAGATCTTGGTCTCGAAGGAAGTAGCAAGCTAACCAGAATTTTTCAATGGTAGCTCATCACTGTGTGCTTGATAGCATAAAGGTTTGGGAAATGAACGTATTAGAAGTGGTCTCTGGGTGGCCTTGGTGCAGTAGGCCTTTAAGTGCCAGAATTTTGTATAGAGAGAGTGCTCTATCCTCAGGGTCTCTTCAGCTACCACTGGCATGTGAGCTGACTCGGCCTCTTCAAAAATGAAGAAAATGAAGTCAATATGGGCTAATGCTCCCAGCCAGCTCTTTTTTTCTTACTCCCTACCCTCCAGGGGCATCATCTTTCTCTTCCCTCTGGACATACTTCGATTTATTTTGTAAAATCCTAGCATCTACTTTATTTTCTCATGTGCCTTTATAATCATACTTTGTTAAGGACTTTCAGAAGTAGGCTTAGAAGTGCTCTACCATTCCTTTTATACCTAGTAGGATCATGGAGTGACAGCCAGTGAAAGCAACAGGGCTTTGAACTAAATACCTCGCACAGTGAAGAGGCTTGCGCTGGTACGATATTCTGACGGCATTTTCCTCTCTACAGATTCTGAGATTCACCTCCAGGAAACTGTGGGTCAGGCTTCCGACCTTGAGACCTTGACTAGGTCACCATCAGCAGAGTTCTCTCCCACTACGGCTCCTGGGCAGGGTAAGAACAGGTTCTGAGAGTTTCCCAACTTTTAGTTCAATCTTGCCTATTCTGACTTTCCGATCCTTTTACCCTTTTTTAAAATTTCCCATTACAACATCCTTACTGTTTTTCTTGGTTTGTTCCACTTTGTATAACCCAGAAAATTCAGCATATAGTTGATTCTCATTATTTGTGGTGGTATATCTTTAGTTTCTACTAACACTGACTTAGTGAATACTGAACCATTGCTGCTAGGAAAACTATGTACACGGGTGTATAGATACATATCACATAATATCTTTTTTTAAATACATTTTTATTGATTTCAGAGAAAGGAAGGAAGAGAAGAGAGAGATAGAAACATCAATTATGAGAGCGAATCATTGATCGGCTGCCTCCTGCACGCCCCACACTGGGGATCGAGCCCGCAACCTGAGCACGTGCCCTGACCGGGAATCAAACAGTGACCTCCTGGTTCATAGGTCAACACTCAACCACTGAGCCATGCCAGACGGGCAATCACATATATATCATATATATATTTACATATGATTTAGATATATATCATATATACAGATTAGATATATATATCACAGATTATAATCTTAAATTGAAAACAGTTTGTACCAGTAGATTCTATTTTACTTATTTTACAAAAGAGAAAAAGAGGTTCAGCCGTGTTAAGTGACGTGCCTGAGGCCTCCACTATTGGTGCCAGAGTTGGAATTCAAGCCCTGTCCAGCCAGCCCCAGAGCTGAGCCTCTTGCCTGCACTACCCTGTCTCCTACCATCTCTGTCTTCAGTCCTCCGAACTAAAACAAGAAAGCAGAATGTCACCCTTTCAACCTCAGCTGAGAGCCTGCTGTCAGGGGGCTTAAATTACTCACCACTCTGCATGTCTGTGAAAGCACTATAAATATTGATTTTAAGGTTACAAATAAATTTTAGCCAGTAGGCAAATTCACAAATATGGAATCTGTTCATAAGGAGGATTGATTGCATTTAGTCCTCATGTTTATTCTGCTGCTGTGCTGCACTTAATTACTTATGTCCGTCACCCACACAGGGGGCAAGCTCCTTGAAGGCTCAGCCATGTGTTGGTCGCCCCTTTTTACCATCCCTCCCGCTCTCCCGCACAATGGCCTACACTCAAAAGAAGCTCAGCAAGTGTTTGTTTTGCCAGCGGTTGGAGCAGGATTCTGGGGAGAGATCTATAGCCTCTGTTCTTTTGTGTGCCGCTGAGAGTCACTATGTTTTTCAGTTTTCTTTTTCTGTGACCTGCCAACATTGCTCTGCAAGGTGACAAGAAGTCTCCTTAGATGCCATAAAGAAAGACTGTGGCATTTCATGGCCATGCTTTGAGAGTTAGTCATGCTTCATGGTAACCCTCAGACCTGAGGGGAGGGCTCAGACTTATAGGCGTATGAGCAGCTTCACACGTATCCGCAAGGCGGCCTGAGCAACTTTGGTTTATGTTTTTGGGTTTTTATTTTTAGCTTTTTATTATGTTTCAAAACACAAAAGTAGAGAGAATAGTACAATGAAGTCTTATTACCCAGCTATAATAATTATTGTCTCATGATAACCAATCTTGTTTCATCTACACCCCTGTCCTTCTACTGGATTATGTTGAAGCAAATCCTAGATAAAATTTCATTTATAAATATATCAGTATATATTGCTAAAAGTAAGGACATTTATAAAACAAAACCATAATGTTATTATCATACCTAAAAACAAGTTAATGATTCCTTGTTGTTATCAACTACCCAGTCACTATTCAAATTTCCCCAGTTGTCTCGTAAAGGTTTTTTTAGAATTACTTTTTCCAGAATCAAGATCTAATAATGTTCACACATGGCATTTGGCTAAAATATCTCTTAAATCTCTTTTTTTTTAAATATATTTTATTGATTTTTTTACAGAGAGAAAGGAAGAGGGAGAGGGTTAGAGAATTAGAAACATCGATGAGAGAGAAACATTGATCAGCTGCCTCCTGCACACTCCCTACTGGGGATGTGCCCGAAACCAAGGTACAGGCCCTTGACCGGAATCGAACCTGGGACCCTTCAGTCCGCAGGCTGACGCTCTATCCACTGAGCCAAACCAGTAGGGCTCTTAAATCTCTTTTAATCAGTAGGTTCCCTATATCTTCCCTCCCCCCCCCCCCTTATTTTTTATTTGTGGAGGAAACTAGGTCATTTGTCCTGAAGCGCATCCCACATGCTGGACTTTGCTGGCTGCTGCCTTGTGGCAATCTGGGTCTTTATCCCTGTGTTTGTAATGTACTTGTAGAGATATCTTAGAAACTTGATTTGATTCAGGCCTAATATTTTGGGGTAAGTATGTTTGATGGGTGTTTGTGTGCCCCCCATGAGGAGATACACAGTGTCCAGTGGTCTCTCTTCTTGTGATGCAGTCACCCAGTAATGATCATTAACTGCCTTGTTATTTCACTAGGGATTTGTAAAGTGGTAAAATTCTAATTCTCTCACTCCTTCCTCATTTATGAGCTGAACTATTCATCACCTTGTCTCTGACTTCTGGCTCTGACTCCCAGGTGTCGCCATTGTACGTTCCCCCAGTCCGAAGGAGAGGAGTGTCCCACAGAGCCAGCCCCCGCTGGAGTTTGTGCCCCCAGCGACGCCCCCGGGCAAGCACCAGTGGGTACCGGATGAGAGCGAGAGCCTCTGCATGGTCTGCTGCAGGGAGCACTTCACCATGGTGAGCAGCATTCGTCTCCGGCTCTATCTGAAGGAGAAACTAAAGAAAAACTCGAGTTTGTAGTCACCTCATGTCCACAAGAAGATTATTGGTATTTTCAGAAAAATTACCAAATCTAAGACTTTGGATTTATCTTTGATCTGACCAGAGTGTATTTTTTGGATTCAAGCAGGTGGTAGATGTCCTGAAAGAGCCTTAAATTCTAAAATCTTTGCCATTCTCATGAAAAAACATAAAAGAGGCGGACTGATATCACAGGACTCTAAGCATCAGAAGACTTTGTTCTGAGCTCCCCTGTCTTTCACAATAAGACAGGTGACCTGTTAATGGTTATATGTGCTGTCTCTGGAAGCAGAAGACCTGGGTTCTCATCTCAGCTCCGCCTCTTATTAGCAACGTAACCATTAACTTCTTCAGTCTCAGCTGCTCACTTGTAAACTCAGGATGATATGTTATTTGGCTCATGTCATTGTAAGGGCTAATTACATAACAGATGTCACCACACTTAACACAGTGCCTGACTGGTATATTACTCAGTGCTGATGAAAACGAGGATGATGTGAATTCTCTGTGTCTGTTTCCTCCTCATTTATAAAAGAGGTGTAATATGTCTACCAATCTCTTATAATGAAATGAGGTAGTGCTTGTGAGATATTTTGAAAAAAGAACACTTTTTCATCATCGTGAATACCCTGGAGAAATCTCATCTGCCTTGGCTGAGAAAGTCCCTCCTTCTCCACTGTTTTTTGCTATATATTTACATGTTGCCTCCACAGACAGGGAGATCTTATCAGGAGCCATTGCTAACTGCTCATGACTTGGGCACCTTTGCTCATCAGCTGAGAGATATCTTTAAATCTCAGCTTCTCAAAGGCAAGCACTAGTATGTTCTTTCTCAGCGGAGGCCAGGAACCTGGTGTTCTTAATAAGTCACGGGGCTGACACCAAGGATAAGTGGATTAACACTTCTACTCACAGTTCCCACGGTCTTACCTACTCTTCCTCCCCGTCCTTCTCTTCCCTCCCACACCCCTCAGTTTAACAGACGTCATCATTGTCGCCGCTGTGGCCGGCTAGTGTGCAGTTCCTGCTCCACTAAGAAAATGGTTGTGGAAGGCTACAGAGAGAACCCTACTCGCGTGTGTGACCAGTGCTACGGTTACTACAACAAAGAGTGAGTGTTCTGCAGTGGGCGGCTACTGTTACTGACCACTACCCCCTCCCTCAAGTCCTTGCACTCCTAGGAGGCTCATTGTGGAGAGCATCTCAAATCTGGTTACAAAATGTTTTAACTTAACATTCACACTGAAACTCCATGAACTCTACAATGATATGTTTGCCCTTGGTCAGAGAAACTTCTAAGGAAGGAGATATGGGTGAGAGGAAGCCAATTTTAAGCCTCTTACGTGATGTTTTCTCTGAGATTAGGACATTTAGTTCTACAGCCCATGCCCTGACTCAGGTCACTGATCTCAGTTCACCAACCTCCTCACCTGTGTTACAGCCGCTCTTGCTCCAGTTGGTCTCAGCTGGACTCCAAGAGACATATTCCTACCTACTGAATGTTTGGGCATCACTTTCATCAGCTCTAATCTATCTAGTCATCCTGACTTGTTATCCATAATTAGAAGTCTTTCCAGTAACCCTATGTGGTCCTACACACAGTTCACTTGGTGACAAATTTCAGAAACTGTTCATCCCTCTGGCAAGACAGATCAGGGCTGTGTTGGCTGGCTCAGTGTTGCTCAATTATTCCCACTACTTCTAGCAGCAAAGGAGGCTGAAACTAAGACTCCCAGGGCATATGAGCCAAAGCAACTATCCAAAAGCAAAATTATTTTGAATTCTTCATGTTTTACTTACAGACAAATAGATTTTACATTTTGTTCAGAGGTGTAATAGCATTTTTGTGTTTGTTTTAAAATGAACATTTTTTGTCATTATTTACCATGATGATTACTGATCTTATAGGAAGGAAGACATGCCATGCTTATACTATAGTTTCTGTGACCCTGGCATATCACTGCCTCCCTCAGTGTGGGGACGGGAGAATTATCTGTCTACCATACTGCTGAGAGTTGAAATGAGCAGTTAGTATTGATGGAGATTCTTTCACTCATTAGTCACTCTGCAATAATCACTTTGCTCTCAAGGAGCCCCCAATTAGCGGGGAGGCAACCAACAAACAGACCACACAGTCATTGAATAACCACAGTGGTCAGGTGGGTTTCTGAGGTGTGGCACCTGGCTGAGTCTTAGAGGATGAGAAGTTAGTAGGAAAAGAAGCACAAACATGCCCAGAAATGGAGGAACAACTGCAATGGTAAGGGTAAGAGTAGGAGAAAGTGTGGGTCATTGAGGAAATGTAAGTAGGTAGGAGATGGGCTAAGATTCTGGCCAGTGTACCTTGGACTTAGAGGCTGGCAGCTGAGCCAGGACTTGGGCAGTGGTGCAAGGCTTGGAGCATGCCCTTGGACAACATGGGTTGGGGTTGACCAGCAAGCTGCTCATGCAGGTCACGATTTATGACTCAAGACCTGAGTTCTGGCTTGTAGTGTCACCTGAAGTTGATCAGAGTCAATGGTAGAGTTGACTCTTTTGGAATTTTATGGGTTGAGCACAGGTTGTGAGTGGCAGGAGATAGTCTCAGGAGGTAGCCAGGTCAGGTCACAAGGGGGCATTGTCTGCTGAACCGCAATGTGAAATAGTTTTGCCCTGAGGAGCTACTGAAGAATTTTAAGCACAAGCATCATTTGACCAGATATGCATTTTGAAAGCTTGCTGTAGCTGTAAAGTACAGAATGGGCTGACAGAATCAAGGAGACCAATTGGGAAGCTATTGAAAAGGCTCTACCAGTAAATGATGAGGACCCTCTCTGAGGCAAGGATAGAGAGAGAGATGGGGACATTTAAAGGGGAAGTTAGGAGATAGAATGGACAGGAATGGGTGAGTGGTTATGACAAGTGAGGGAGAGGAAAACGTTTTGGATAATTTCCTATCTCACTTAGGTCACGGAGTAAAGGTCAATGCTATACCAAGCTCAAATCAAAAAGAAGGAGGAGAGATTCAGGCATTTCATTTTTTCTTTCTCTGTTTCCAGTGGGCCAGAGGAGAATCCAGGACAACCAGAAGGTAAGACTGAACCACGTTGCCTGGGACTCTTTGTTTATATGCTCAGTTTGGCTTTTCCTTCCTTGTCAGCTGCAACTGGCACCCTTAATGGCACCTCAGTCCAACTGGTTGGCCCAAGAAAATTTTTCGCATTTCAATCAAGCTCTCTCCCTTAAAATTTATCATCATATTAGTCTATCATTCTGGCCCATTACTTTCCAGCATTGAGAAGGCCAGTAACCAAATGACTTGGTCCCTAACTTTTAGTAGGTTTAAAAAAATTTTTTTAAAATATGTTTATTGATTTTAGAGAGAGGGAAATAGACAGGGAGAGAAAGAGAAACATCTATCGGCTATCTCCTATTGGGGGATCGAGCCCACAACCCAGGCTGTGCCCTGACCAGGAATCCTTTTGGTATATGGGATGATGCTCATCCAACTGAGCAACAGGGTGTTTTTTTGGTTTGTGTTTTTAACCCCTAGGTTCCTATTTACCATCATACTACCTCCCAAGGCTCCCTCTTTCCCCCTAGTTAACCACTATTAGTAGCTTGGCCTATACCCTTCCACAGCAGGTTAATTTTTGAGTAGCCAGTGGCTCAGCCCTCATTTAAGAGGCATGAACCTTTCAGGCTTGTGTGACAAACACTGTAATACTCATCCCCAGGCCTCTCCTGGGGAAGGAAGTTTGAGGTTCCTTAAGGAGGTCTCCTAGAGGAAATAAAAAGGACCAAGCAAAAGAGAAAGGGCAATCAGCAGGAAGGATCTACCTGCAACTCACGCCAGCTCATGGGGCTGAACTAGAAAGGCCTGCTGGCCAGTGGCTGACACACAGATGGCATTCTCTTCCCAGCCCCGGACAGTGCCAAGAATGAAAGCCCACCATATTCAGCTGTGGTCAGAGTCCCCAAAGCACCTGAGGTAGAATGGATTTTGGACTTGAATGAGGAGGAAAATGAGCTGGTGCGGAATGAATTTTACTATGAGCAGGTAATTGCAATAAAATTCAATGGCCATTTGAGTTTCTTTATGATGTGGAGTAGTATAGCGGGAAATGCAGAGATAGGTGAACACAGCCTGGCCTTCACTTGCTTAGTTTAACAATATGGGAGCTAAGACAAGTATAGCAGTTAAGGCAGAAAATGAGAAGCATCATGGGAAATGCACACGAGGAGATCAGGAAAGGCTTCCTGGAAGAGGTAGCATTTAAGATGAGCCTTGGAAGAGCGTAGAAGTTTGACAAGCAGAAATGTGGGGGTTAGGAGGGGAGTGAAGATAGGGGAAGGGCAAAGAGTGCAAAACTAAAGCATCTGAGCGAAGGTTCAGTGTCATAAATTGCAGGTCATATGGGGAATTGGAGATGGTTTAATTTTGAGGGAGAGGGTGTAGGTAGAGAGGTAGTAAAAGATAGGATTAAAACAGGCTATTTATGTTTAGGGACTTGAATTCTGCAGTAAGGAATATGTCCTTAGTAGGCATCAGGGACAGTGGAAGGTTTTGGAATGTGCTTTTGGCATATGAATTATCATCAGTGTGTTCAGTGACCTTAAGCAGAGGCTTCTCCAGGTGCTCAGACAAGCAAGGTGACCATCATACTCTAAGCCGGTAATAAAAAAACACCTGTGTTAGTGGGACACAGCCTGGAAAGAGGAGGGGCCTGTGAACATTCCCAGGAAGGAGGTAACACATGAGCACAGCTGCTTTCCTCCCAGTAAGGTGATGAAACCTAGCAGCCAGTGCTTCGGAGATGCTACTTAGAACACCTGGAATTTATTTCCACTTCCGCTTTGCTGTGGAATGTTGGCTCGTCCTTCAGTGTTTTCCGAGCTTTGTGAAGCAGGAAGAATAATTCCCACAATCTAACTGTGGAGAACGCGTGGGTCCCTGAACTCACTGTGTGCTTCTCTCTTCCTCCACACTGGCCAGGCCCCCAGCGCCTCCTTGTGCATCGCCATCCTGAATCTGCACCGGGACAGCGTCGCCTGTGGCCACCAGCTGATTGAGCACTGCTGCAGGCTGTCCCAGGGCCTCGCCAACCCAGAGGTGGACGCAGGGCTGCTCACAGACATCATGAAGCAGCTGCTCTTCAGCGCCAAGGTGATGTTTGTCAAGGCCGGCCGCAGCCAGGACCTGGCTCTTTGTGACAGGTAATGGGAGTAAGCCTCTGTTCTTCTGCCTGGCAGTCATTTCTAGCCAGCTTCTCTTCCTGGCCCCACTGTGAGTTTTCACCTCACCATCCCCTCTGACGAGACATACTGAAATGTTTGCATCGCAATTTGATGTTAACGTCATGCTGTTACCAGATCACCAGTGGTCTTCCTCACCCTCCCTGAGCAGCCTGTGTCCTTCCTTCTCTGTCCCTGAGTGCATCCTCAAAGCAAGGATTCTCTAGCTATACCCAGTCAGAAAGAACTCAAAGACTCTGGTTGATTTGTAATTAAAGTCAGTTTCAGGGAGCGCCTTTCATCTCTGTGGAACTTTCTGGCTTTTAAAGATGTGTCCTCCCTGAGTGTCCAGTGCTTACCCTTGACCAAAACTCTACCCCAACCTTGCCCAGATTCAGACTGTGGCCTCAGGGAGTTCTGACGAGAGCTCTATAAAGCACACTGGGGACTGATGTATCCCTGTGTCACAGGCAGGAATCTGAGTCATAAAGTAGAAATATCTTTGAAAAAGGTATGATTAAGCCTCAGGTTCCTGCACAACCTGCCCTGCCTCCTTTTATTAACATGACAATGAAAACTCCCAGTTCCCAGCTTATCCACCCAGTTGTGTGACTCACGTTGTGTGTTCCCAGCACTCAGGCCTAGCCAGATTTGGGAGCAGAGAGCATAATTATCTTTGAAGTGTAAGTACCTCAGGCACTTGACTGCAAACTCAGCAGCTGGCATAGAGTGCAGTGAATCTCAGCTTTTCCACTTCCAAGCTCTGTCACCTTGGACAAGTCTGTTCACCACTGTGGGCCTCAGTTTCCTCTTCTATAAAATGAGTATGACAATAATACTTATCTCATACGGCTGTTATGAGGACAAAGGGAGAATATCCATGTAAAGGGCTAAGACTGGGCCTACTACTCCAAAAATGTTAGCTTTATTATTTTTTTAAAATATTTTTATTGATTTCAGAGAGGGAAAGAGAGAGAGAAACATCAGTGAGAAAGAATCATTGATCGGCTGCCTTCTTTTTTTTTTTTTTTAAATATATTTTATTGATTTTTTTACAGAGAGGAAGGGAGAGGGACAGAGAGTTAGAAACATCGATGAGAGAGAAACATTGATCAGCTGCCTCCTGCACACCCCCTACTGGGGATGTGCCCACAACCAAGGCACATGCCCTTGGCCAGAATCCAACCTGGGACCCTTGAGTCCTCAGGCCTACGCTCTATCCACTGAGCCAAACCGGTTAGGGCAATCGGCTGCCTTCTGCATGTACCCTACTGGGTATCGAGCCCACGACGTGGTCATGTGCCATGATCTGGAAAGGATCTGTGACCTCCTGATTTATAGGTCAACGCTCAACCACTGAGTCACACCAGCCAGGCAGCTTTATTATTTTTATTAACAAAAAACAAAAGGTTGAGAAAGATAAAAGGAGGTGGAACAAAAAATGGAAGGAAGTTTGAAGAAGTTAATTTCACTCATATCAAGAGGTACTAGATTCTACATCATCTTTCAAGTTCATAAATTAATAAATAGATGTACCATGTTAAATAAAGTTTATAAATAACCATGAAAAGAACCAAAAAGCTACCAATTTATCAGAAATGGAAAAGAAGGAGACATGGAGACAAAAACCCCTTCATATAGCAAAAAGGTAAACTTAAGGCAAAAATTAAAATATATCTAAATACAGCATGGGGCAAAAGTAGGTTTACAGTTGTAAGTATGTGAAACACAGTTTATTCTTGTATTTATTAATTATTGTGTTATTTTCCATATGAACAACTATAAACCAACTTTTGCCCCACCCTGAATATCTTGAATATCAATAATGTAAATGATATTAAAGTTTTATTTTAAAAAAGGATACTCAGATTGGGAGGGGAGAACAGATTTAACATTAATTCCTATACTTCCTTCAAAATCTATTATAGACTAGAGGCCCAGTGCACGAAATTTGTGCACTGGTAGGGTCCCTAGCTGCTGCTGGCTGCCAGCCAGGTACTACCTCTCTTCCCCCAGCTGGCCACACCCCCTGGACAAACTCCCAGTCGAGGAGACAATTTGCATACTACGCTTTTATTATATAGGATAGAGGAAATGTCCGCTTTAGGCTGAGGGCAGCAGAAGTTAAGGAAGTCCTTAGTTCAGTAGGATTCTCACCAACCCCCAGGGGGCTGGAGCTTCAGCAGTGGTTTCAGATTGCACATCCTTTCCCCCTCCCCACAGATTCAGAGACACCCACTCTGGAAAATCACTGTCTTTGTGCCCATTTTCTGAGGGGAGTGGATACATCTCCCATGTGTGTTTAGAATTCTTGGTTTGCAGAGTATTTTTCTACTGTCTTTAATCATAAAAAAAAAACTCA